AACCACGAACATTGAACATCTGGTCGATAATGATCACCCTATCTCTATAGTCTCCACATTTAAAATCATCTATAAATCAAAAAGTGATTTACCGAAATCCCTCCGTACCCGACTCATCTGTATTTCTGAAGCCATCTTTGGCTATCGAAACAGAAAAGCTAGATCTCTGTGTACATAAAAAGTTCGTTCAACCCCTCCAACTTTCATGGTCTTAATCCCTCTATGCTAAAGTATTATAATCCGCAATCGTATTGTGGCTCTACCAATTTTTCACTTTTTTTCATTTTGTCTATTGAATTTGTATACTGTTCCTTATTCCGTCAATTTTTACTATTACTACTCTCACTTTTAATTGTCCCCGGTATTATTTCACTTGTTCCACTTGTCATTATAAATCAATTCTATTTTGCAACAATAAATTCTATGTTATCAAATTTCACACAATATTACGTAACGTTTTTTTTTTATTTGATTTGTCTACTATGAATTATTCTATGTATGACATTAATTGTTTGCCATTTGACATTTAACTGTGATTATAATCACAAATATTTTAATTGCATTTCATACTTTATTATTTCATATATTCACACCTTTGATTCAATTCCCTTACCGGATATAATTTCTTAAAAACCATAAACATACGATTTTGCAGCTTGATAATAAATTTGGTGAATAGTTTTCTTCTAAAACATCTTCAAATTCTACGCTGGAGGACTTTGTAGTTTAATTCCCCCTTGAAACCAAGGTTAGTGTAAAGTTACACAAATGGACTCATGTGAAAGATGGGCCAAAGCCATTTTATCTAGCTCACACCACCCTCTTCACTCACAACTCTCCCTTTGCATCTCATCAGGCAAAACCAGAAGCCTATATGGAAAACTATATGCTCGCACCAGCAAGTACAAAAACTCAACCATACCCTACTTAGCTCATGTTCTGTGTGATAAAGAAAACATTAGGCGTGACACCTATAATTCATTAAATAGTCAGTAGTACAAATGGACCTCGTCTTTCCAACTAATATCATTTATAGGTAAAACGTTTTCTTTCTTTCTTTTCTTTTTCTCTCTATTTTTTCCGTTATGTGCTGCTTTGTTTCTTTCTCTCGCTTACGCCATTAAATATGATAGCATCTACTTTTCTAACACTTTCAAACACTGTTCAACTTTTACTTTGCTACCGACATGCCAATATGTTGTTGTAATAATGGACTGAGATTTCCTTAATCTATGTAGAATTCTATTTATTGATAATGTACTAAGTGGATGCAATACTGTAGTAAAAATGCTGAGAATTCCATTCTGTATCACATGTACTGTTTTGGAATAAAGCAAATTATTATTATTAAAAAAAATGATGTTTGCTTTCTTTGAACTTTTCGGTTATATATAAATCTCAATGGATATCATTTCTGAATGAAGATTTCTTTCAGATGGTCCAATTCTACTTATGGAGCATCAGGACTGAAGATTTGTAAGATGTCAGTGACAAGGAATACAACTGATACCAGTTGAAGAACCATTGGAAAGTCAGGAAGTACTGAATGGATATTTCGTCCTAGTTTGGAGCTCTTCATCAGTGCGTACCCACTGGGGTTGTGTTATACACCACAAAACCTGGTAGAAGTTGGAATTCCTGGGTCCTTACACCGACACCCATTTGCTAAAAGGTCTACGAGCTCGACCTGTATTCAGGAGGTCTCGTGTTTCAACCTCGGTGCGTGCATCCTGACGAAGTCTTAAAAGGTTTCCCGATGGTTCTCTAACTGATATCAGCTCGTTAACGAAGATACTGGAGTTGTTTTAAACCTAAAAACTACTCATAAATCTTTTTGAATATTAACGGCATAAAATCTGTATTTTTTTCTTGTTAATGTAGTGAGTACCTGTGCAGAGGATCACTCTCCAACTTCACTGAAACATATGTAAGTGTCTTTTTTATTTAAGCGTTTGAATGTTCATATATATATATATGTTGCAGTCAGATTTCTTCACCTTATAGAATTCCCAGAAATAGACTAGTCCTAAGTATATATATATTTTCTTTTTATTCTTCGCTTTGTGAAGGGAACATAGGCTTTCATTATTATTATTATTGCTTCCTTTAATTCCTGGAGGAACATAGGGCTTCAGCCGTGCGTCTCCATTGCTTTCGGTTCTCTGCTAGACTCTTCACCTGGCTCCATGTCTGCCCACACGTTTTCATCTCCTCTTCACATGACCTCCATCAAGTCACCCACCCTCGCACTGACGACCAACTCGCCGCTTCCCTTTCGGGTTCCACTCGAACAATGGCCTGTCTAGTGATGTCACTTGATGGTTTCCTCAGAGTACGGCCGATCCATCTCCATTTCTTCCTGCATATTTGTTGCACAATCGGTTCCTGGTTGGTTCGCTCATTGCCAGAGATCCCTGTTGCTGATCTTTTCTGGCCATCTGATCTCGAGTATTGAGCGAAGACAACTGTTAATGAAAGTCTGTAGTTTGTTTGAGATGCTATTTTGACGCGCTGGCCAAGTCCCTGATTCGCATAGTAGCACTGACTGACTTCACATTGGAGTTGAAAATCCGGATCTTATTTTTCATAGTGATTAGTGCTGTTGATCTCCGCACAGACTTGAGAGTAGTGAAAGCCTGTCTTGCTTTTCCGATTCTTGCTTTGATATCCTCGCCTGTAGTTGAAACGATGCCTTCCAGGTAGGTAAAAGAGGTTGTTTCTTTCAGGTTCCTCCCATTTACGCTGATCATTGTCTGTTATTGTTATTCTTGCGCAGGTCAAGGTCATAGGCCGCTTACCCAACCTTCTTTCTTTACTGAGATGACTATTGGCTTGGCGAGGTTTAGCAGTGACGCAGCCAAGAAATACGTGAGCTCCTGGCTGGTATTATACTGTTAAACAATTGATGTAGAAGTCGGAAGGTGTAAGGAATCCAAACCACCAATATGTGCTCATATAGAAATATTTTCATTGCCCACTGGTATTTTTTAAACAGGTTCATAAATACCGCATTAACTCATACTACTTACCAGTAGTAAGTAGTATGAGGCTAAATACAAAATAAATGGGAATTATGAATGGAAAGAAAAGTATGCACAATTACTGATTCAATATGGCATTAGGAAGGCAAATATTGAGGTATTATATCTCTTCGTAATTGCCTTTTGATCACCTTACAAATACCATGGTTCACAATAATAAAATAAAATGTATGACAATTACTGTTTTAGTAGGGCAAGTAGTGTATGGTAGGCATAGGTTAAGGCATATTATTTTCCGCATACATAGATTGGGATGTGTGTAATTGATCCAAAGCACTCCCATTATCTTTAACAGCTCTAAATTAAAGTTATGTGAAATAATCAAGAGACAATAATCAATAGTGAACATAGACAAGACGGAGGTTATGAAAATAACCAACCAACAACAACTACAACAGCAGCAGCAACATGCAGCGCCAATCACCATCAACGGGAGGGATTTGAAAGAGGTTACTTCATTCACTTATCTAGGGAGCATTGTCTCAACCACAGGAGGAACGGACGAGGATGTCAAATCGAGAATCGGGAAGGCGAGAAACACATTCATCAACCTGAAACCAATCTGGAAATCTTCGTCACTCAGCATCAACAACAAAATGATTCGGATTTTCAATACAAACGTCAAGTCAGTCAGTTCTTCTATACTTTCGGATCAGAAACTTGGCAGGTCACCAAGAATATTTATTCCCAACAGCCTGTTGCAGACCTTTATCAACAACTGTCTTCGTTCTATACTGAAGATCAGATGGCCGGAAAGAATCACCAACTAGAAACTATGGGAACAAACAAAACAAGAACCAGTCGCCCAACAAATATGCAGTAGAAAGTGGAGATGGATTGGACACTCACTGGCTGAGGAGGCCGCTGGGTGACATCGCGCGTCAGGCCAGTGCTCGAGTGGAACCCGAAAGTGAAGCGGCGAGTGGGACGTCGAAGGGTGACATGGAGGAGATCGTGTGAAGAGGAGCTGAAATAGTATGGACTAACATGGATGCAAGTGAAAAGTACAGCAGAAGACAGAAGCAAGTGGAGGCGTGCAGTTGAAGCCCTATGTTCCACTAGGATTCCAAGGGAACAATAAACAATAAAGGATGATACTCAACAAATATGTAGGAGGATATGGGGATGCATTGGGCATACATTGAGGAGACCGTCGAGTAACACAGCGCACCCGGTCCTCGAGCGGAACCCGAATGGGAAACAACTTGTGGTTCGTCAATGCGAGGGTAACATGGAGGAAATCTTGTGTTGGAGAGGAAGAGATTAGAGATTATGGGCAGTAGTGGACCCAGCTGAAGAGGACAGCAGAAAATAGAACAGAGTGGATAATTCAAATACATTTGTCTCCCTTATATGTAAATAAAATGGCTTTTCTTCTTTTACATGTTTCAACCCCCACGTAGATTGTATGATTAACACAGTACCATCAGGTGTACAGCTTGAAGAAATACAGGATTTCCTGATTTTGAATGTCTCAACACTAAAATAAAATCAATAACTCTATTAAGATAGCAGATGAAGTATTGAGATGCACAGTTTATAGAACTAATGGCACCCAGGACTTGTCTGTTAACTGTCAGCGTTATGTATTCTACTTCCTAGACATCCTATTACATTTTGAAAATGCAACATTAATCTGGTACCCTATTTGGGAACTATAATCATTGTCACACAATAAAAGAATGTCCACTGGACCAAATGTATCTTGCGATTATCTTATGGACAATTTGCAGGGTAGGCTCAAAGGTGATAATTGAGTTAAAAAGGTAATATACCTGTACCGAATCAGATGGGTGGGCATTATTCCACTTATATCTAACCACAACTTATCTACACTACTAAAATAGTATTCTGTTTGTAACAGAAACTTGTGTCTTGACTTTAGACATTAGCCTAAACGTTTTAGTTCAATCATTTTTATGTATACGAGACACTTAATTCATTACTTTAACTGATAAAATGATAACAAACACGTGAATAGACAAATAAGAAATGTGTCTTTGAGATATACCACTCAAAAGTAGTGTAGCTATTGGTGATATTAACTAAATGTTCCAGGATAGTGATTTCATTTCGAAGCTTTCGACGTCCTTCTAAGCAGCATCTTCGGAGTAAATTTCTTTATAAAGTGAACTTATTTGAACTCTCCATGGATGTTATAATTGTATCCTCGGATAACCTTTGTTGTAACTGGTTAATAATTTACACTAGTTTTGATTGTTTTTAATGACTTAGAAGTTGATATTCCTGCCATATGGTTAATTCTTTGCGAGTAAATAAATCTGGTATAGAATTATGTGTCTGTCAGTCGGTGGTTTGTCTGAGTGTTTAGAATTTCCCTGACATTTTGGTGCTCCAATGTTTTAAATTTCTACATTTTCCTAGTTAAACTTATGTCCGTAGTTGTGTGCATGCGTAGATATGAAAGAGCACATGTTGTATACGTTGACAGCTAGTTCATGCTCCTGGACACCCACTGTGACCAGTATACAGTGTTTATCACGATTGATGGAATTTATTTTGTAAATGGTGTTGATTTTGTTTTCTCTTCCTTTTGGTTTGTGTACTATATATGACCAATTTGGAAAGCGGCCTTTTAAAATCAACAATAAACAAATTATTACTGCACAAAAGGTACGTTGATGATACCTTTATAGTCTGCTAAGAAAACTCGGACTTCAATTGTACCTTACGAGAATCTAATAATTCCCATCCTCCGATTAAATTCATAATGGAATTAGAAAACGATTCAAAGATTCTATTTCTGAAAGTGGAAAGGCCAACTAACGCATTTCTATAGTTGGATACCTTTGAGCTGAAAACGAGCTTTCATCATCTCACTAACTAATCGCATTAGAAACGTTTGAAGCAGTGATTGTTTGGAAAAGGAGCTCTTATTCCTCAAAAATATCCTGGCTCATAATGGTTACCGCACACGTTTTGTCGACAGGAGCATGAAACCTAAAGCAAAAAGAGGAGAATGCGATTGAGCGCCAAAGAAGACGCTATATCTGAATCTGAATTTCAGGGGAGATTTGGCAGCCGATATCCTGAAGAGGAGAATATCCAGCTCTTTAAAGAAGAACTCCCCTTCTCTAGCTGTTCAAATCTGCGAAACAACGCTAAGGATAAACTCTCGCATATGACCAATTCAATGTGTATATACCAGTTCAACTGCCGGTGCGGAGCTAGGTAAATTGATGGTTGTATTCGCGTCCTTTGAAAACGTGTTAGAGAACATTACCCAGCGTGGCTGCAAAGAGGAAGCACCGGTTAAATCAGAAGTGCCATTATGAAAACATCTGATCAACACCTCTCACAACACCTCAACTGATTCATTCAAAGTAATTTGTAAAGTCAACAGAAGCCTACCAAAGCTGTATGTTTCTGATTTCTCTGTACTGCAGAAGCCCTCGCAATATGCATCGAAAAGCCGGAGGTGTGTGTTCAGAAGAAATTAGTCCAACCTCTACAACTACTATGTACCTAGTTCGGTATGTTCCCTTAGCTTCCGTGCTTTTTCTTCGTTCTGTTTTGATCTTTTTTCCTATTCTCTCTGTCTTCATTCAATTCACCCTATTTTTTCGGTTATAAAATCAGTTATTTTAAGTTTGTTTCCATTCTCCTCCTGCTGCTTACACTTGTAATTCGTTTAAAATAACTATTTTACAATTATATCCTAATCCTGTTTAATTTTTGTTTCTAAGGCTCTTGTAATCTATATTCACACCTCATAACTTCCATCTCAAGCTGGAAATTATCATTTCAGTTTGTTTCCATGCTCATTTTTTACACACTTTTAATTCGTACTAATCCTGAGTAATTTTTATTTCTAAGCCTCTCGTAAACCATATCTAGTTGATAATAATTGTCACCTTTTATTCACCGTCGTAATTATGTGGTATCAAGTAAAGAAAAATTGTATCTATGTAAAATTATGTATTTAAATGCGATTGTACAGCTGCTTTTGAAAATGTCGTCGCCGAAGAGGTAGATATCTTTGCTGAACTTCATGTTCTCTTCTTCCTAATGTGTACTATGTTTCTGTTTAGAATAATTTGAGTATTCTAACCGTTATCCCAAATATATTCTTTATAAAGCGCAGCATGAATTTTCTTGTGATATTTGAGGATGCTTTCTTACCGTTAGTTTGATTCGAATTTCGAAAATTTTTTGATGCGATTGTAAGAGTATTCAAGTCAATAAAATCAATAGATTTTCAAGTGTTGGTTTGTAGGGATTTGATTGGTTACAGGATTTCATCATGAGCTGACATCAGTTAGAGAACCATTGGAAAACCTGGGAGTACTGGACAGCTGTTTCGTCCTAGTTTGGGACTCTTCATCAGTACGCACCCACCGGGATTATACGATTAGTGGAGAATTTGAACAAGTTTAATTCATAATAGAGTTGCACCCCGTAAAACAAATCACCATCCAGCTCAGAGAATGCAACTCAATAAAAATCTAGAACAACACATTTAAGCGAACAATATTGTTTTCAATTAGATCTCATCAGGTTTAACTATAATATACATAAGTGTACAAATAAAAATTCAAATATATGGACCAATCACGGTGATTTGTCTATTGGATAATAAGATGGTGAATATAAATTGTGCCATTAGTCATAATAGTAGTAATGATCATAACAATAGTAATAATAATAATAATGGTCTTATCAATAATAAGGATGAAAAAGTGAGGCAATCTGTGATAACACAAATAATGAAAAACAGCAAACGAAGGATAAGCTTGATAGTTTTGCCACATCTGTGTGCATTTATCAATTCAACTGCACCTGCGGTGACAGTTATTTTGGCCACACTACTACTAGACAGCTTAGCCAACGCGTCACTATTGAACATCTCACATCGTGGTTTGGCAAAGGACAGACAAAAACAATCCTTAGCTCAATTTTGTCACATTTAATTGATAGTGGTCATGTAGTGGAGGAAACGACAGCTTTCAAAGTAATTCATTGTATCCCCCCGAATCTTTCCAATGGACTACGTATTCGTCTACTGCACACAGCTGAGGCGATAGGCATTCGAACTATTAAACCTAAACTATGCATTCAAAAGAAGTTCGTACAGCCATTATCCCTCCCTTATTGGCCTATTAAGACATAAACAACTAATGACTTCTGCACCACCCCTTGTTTATATTTTCAACCCCTTTCTTATCATCCCTTAATCTTATCACATCTTCATTATAAACGTGTTTCATTTCCTTCCCTTACAATCTAACATTACTTAATCGCTTCATTTGTTTTTACTAGCCTTTATCGACTACTTCCACCTGAATAGTTATTTGTTTATTCATGCTGTTTCTCATTATTCGTGTTATCACAGAATGGCTCACTTTTTCATCCTTATTATTGATAAGGCCATTATTATTATTATCATTGCTACTATTATGACTAATTGCATAATTTATATTCCCCATCGTATTATCCTATAGACAAATCACCATGATTGCTCCATTTATTTGAATTTTTATTTGTACACTTATGTATGTTAGACAACAACAACAACAGCAGCAACATCCAGCGCCAATCACCATCAACGAGAGGGATTTGAAAGAGGTTACTTCAGTCACTTATCTAGGGAGCATTGTCTCAACTACAGGAGGAACGGACGAGGATGTCAAATCGAGAATCGGGAAGGCGAGAAACACATTCGTCAACCTGAAACCAACCTGGAAATCTTCGTCACGCAGCCTGCATCAACAACAAAATTCGGATTTCCAATACAAACGTCAAGTCAGTTCTTCTATACAGATCAGAAACGTGGCAGGTCACCAAGAATATTTATTCCCAACAGCCTGTTGCAGACCTTTATCAACAACTGTCTTCGTTCTATACTGAAGATCAGATGGCCGGAAAGAATCACCAACAAGAAACTATGGGAACAAACAAAGCAGGAACCAATCGCCCAACAAATATGCAGGAGAAAGTGGAGATGGATTGGACATTCGCTGAGGAGGCCGTTGGGTGACATCGCTCGTCAGCCCATTGCTCGAGTGGAACCCGAAAGGGAAGCGGCGAGTGGGACGTCGAAGGGTGACATGGAGGAGATCGTGTGATGAGGAAGTGAAACAGTATGGATTAACATGGATGCAAGTGAAAAGTACAGCACAAGACAGAAGCAAGTGGAGACGTGCAGTTGAAGCCCTATTTTCCACTAGGAACCCAAGGGAACAATAATAATAATATGTATATTAGAGTTAAGCCTGATGAGATCTAATTGAAAACACAATACCACTGTTCGCTTAAATGTGTTGTTCAATAAAAATCATCCAACTGAGCTACAAATCTACTCTACTACTCAGAAAGTTAATTAGGAAAACGGAAAATTTTGAAATTAATCATTTAATATAATAAAATAAAGTATTACTAATATTGAATTCTATACTGTATCATATATAAACTATCTTAGATGTTATTGTTCTCTCTCTCCTCACCCCAAAAATACTACCAGTATAAACGAAGAAGAGGAAGAGGAACAAGAGACCAGTTGTCATGTCAAGGAAATAAATCTACCTGTGATTCAAAACAGATTTCATCATGGACATTTCAATCCTAAAATCTACTATGATCTAAATATATCTGCTGATCATTTTATTGAATTAAGCCAGAGAGATATAGAGAAATGCATTGAAAGTGAAATAAGTCGAATGAGAGTAACTGTTGATGGAAATGATGAAAGTGTTAATTGGACAATAGTGGTCAATAAACTGCCTACAGATATTAAACCAGTTTTAAAGTATTTTAAATCAAATATACAAAAAGAACAATGCATTAATTTCAAGGTAGGTTTCATTTATGCCTAACAATTACTATAATTAACGACGTTATAATTCTGTATGCTCCACGTAGGCTTCAATTCAGAGGCTGGCTCATCTCCATTGTACTCCGTTTTCTAACGTCTATTTAAATCTACTCCATAACCGTCCGGAAGCTTTCATTTTTTCCACCTCACACGATATCCTCCATGCTAATATTAGATGCTAAACCTATCGCATGCAGTTCACGTTCCAGTTGACGGATTGGCGTGTGATGTCACTCGGTAGATACTGGTATTTAAATTCAGCCCATTTCTATTTTCTTCTTTATATTCATTGGGTGACAAGCTTTTGGATGTTTCGTCTAATTAAGCAACTGAGACTAACACTCAGAGAACGCGTGGTGAAATGGCTAAAGTGAATAGTGAAAGACTTCATGAATGTAGCCGTGTTTTGGTATTAGCAGGTCAAATGGTCTTTTGGTCCGGTTCTATATTAGCTAACAATGCGAGCTGAGAAAGGTAGTGGTCCTACAGTCGTTAAAGATATTCGTGACACTTAATTCAGTGTTGATTTAAAGCACTAGTGACTGCCAACGACAATTATACATCTCATCCAACAGTTGTGCGTGTGTGTCAAGTAATCCACAACGGTAAACTTACGGAATCCTTCGAAATGAAGGCGTGAGTAGGATAAGGCTGCCTGCTATCTCCAGTGATTTCCCTGATTGTGGTAGACTGGATAATGCGACAGACAGCGGACTGCGTAGAGACAGGCATAAAATGGACCCACACAAAAACTTGTAGGATCTGGATTTCGCCGATGATATATGTCTGATTTCCCACAAACTGGAAGATATGCAAATGAAAAGCAGGTAGTTGGCAGAACAAGTATCAAAGTTAGGATGGATTTCATTTGAACATAAAGGAAACAGAGATGATGAAGATTCCTGGCCAACAGCAATAGCAACAACAACAACGGAAAACAATCAGCATAAATGGGAGGAACCTGAAAGAAGCAAGCTCCTTTACCCACCTACCAACCGACCTGGGGAGCATTGTTTCAACTACAGGCGGACGGAACTGATGAGGATATAAGAGTGAGGAACAGGAAAGTAAGGTAAGCTTTCATTACTCTCAAGTCTGTGTGGAGGTCAACAGCACTACTAAGCATGAAAAATAAGATCGGGATTTTCAACTCCAATGTGAAGTCACTGCTACTTACTATACGGATCAGAGACTTGGCCAATGTCATGAGGAGCACTTCGAACAAACTACAGACGTTCATCAACAGCTGTCTTCGTTCAAGATCAGATGGCCGGCCACAAAACATCGGCAATAGGGAGAGATCTCTGGCAATGAACGAACCGACCAGGAAGCAACTGTGCAACAAATCTGCAGGAAGAAATGGAGGTAGGTGGATTGAACGCCATACTCTGAGAAAACAAACCACCATCAAGTGAGTGATATCACACGCCAGGCCATCGCTCTAGTGGAACCCGAATGGGAAATGGCGAGGTGGTCGTCAGTGCGAAGGTGACATGGAGAAGGAGGTCATGTGAAGAGGAGATGAAAGCATGTGGGCAGACGTGGAGCCAGGTGAAAATGTTGTCAGAGAACCGAACGCAATGGAGACGTGCAGCTGAAGCCCTATGTTCCTCTAGGAACTAAAGGAAACAAAAATAATAATAAATAAATAGTTGATTGATTTGCTTGCATAACATTCTGAGGTCCATTTCATCTTATATGAGTAACAGGAGAAAGCAATATAAGCTCAGCGTCCTGGGATTTTTCTAGATCTAGTACCTCCACCCTGCAGATACTATGGATCAACACTCTGAGTTAGGAGAAAAGGACTTGATGCACTGTATATTGACTCATTGATTAGTAGAAAAATATCTCGACTTGATCCAAGTTAGCAAATGGCGAAATGCGCCTGTTTTATCCGTGCTAAGACTTCAGTCGATAAATCAGTTGATCAATAAAATCGTCAAAGAAGCTGAATAAATACATCCTTCAATTATTTTTTATCGATTTGATCAACTTTGAGATTTAGAATTTCTTCGAAATCAGTTTAAACAAATTTGGGTCGTTTGAGTGAATATAAACAAAGACATCTAATCTGGATGAGTAAAGCTGCAGTTAATTCATTAAAAGTCATACCCATCTAATGAAACCTGCTCAGAACATTTCCTTATCCTTTGTGCAAATGGTGATTTTATACTTGTGCATTCTACTAGTATACCAATTAAAGTAAACAAATGATGTACCAAAAGTTTCTCTTTTTGGTGTTATTTTATGCTGGGTTGTTCAAAATGACTATCTATAGACCAGAAATATCCGTTTCACATTTATCGGTGCTCATCAGGTAAAATTCCCAACAAACTCAGGGGGAACAGTACGTCAGCATTGATTGCTTTAATTATGGGCATCACTACTGAGCTGGTTCATATATGCCGTTTGACTGAAGAAATGTGATCGATGCTTAACCACCTTGTCCTAAATGGTAGTTGAATGTTGAACTTGTGAAGATTTGAACTAGTAATAATAGTGGGAATTAGGGTGCAGTGGAAACCGTAGTACACTGGATCTTAGACGCTGAATTCTAGAAAGTCTCAGAATAGGAGAAGACGACTATCCAAGGTTATCTAATTCTTAAAATGGTTTAATGTTTATTATGAAATCTAACTAAATTTTGCCAAATGGTTTTGTATTCTGATCAACGAGTTGAGAGATGTCCAAGGACTGAGATGTTTTTTCAGTGTTGTATATCTTGGAGTTATAAATCAATAAGGTATCAATACGAATGTTAAATCAGTGCTTCTGTACGGTACAAAGACTTGGTATACGCATCATGCCAAGCACTTCTAACAGGTTGCAGACTAACATCAACACCTGCGTTCATCGCCTGGATATTGAAGAAAGCATGAGCAACAAGGAATTCTTATGAAACTGTCCTATAAAATTCATTAGGAATATCAAGAAAGGTCAAAAGCAAAATAAAAATAATGGTGAAACTAATAATGGTGACATAAATAAGAGAGAATATAAGGCATCTACAGTTCTACCATATAAGGATTCTTAATAAAGCAGGAATTACAGTGGCATTCAAACCTACAAACTCACTCAGGTAGGACAAACTCTATAGGCTAAAAGACCCGGTGGACCCAATTAAACAAAATAATATAATTTACAAAATACCTTTGAATGACTGTGAGTAAGGTCAACTACATAGGTCAAACTAGTAGGTCGGGGTAGTCAGATTGTCAGAACATAAGAATTTAGCTAAGGTTACAATGACGGATCCAAGGAAGGTAAGTAATTTAGAAATGGGTTCAGAGATTGCACTGCATGCATTAACACACAACAACGCAGTAGGGTGGGAGAGGGTTAAAATTCTAAGAAGTAATCTAGGTAGGTGGAGAGAGAGAGGTTGATTACTGAATCCTTGTTCATCGAGTCTACACCCAACACATGGAATAGAAGTGACTCAATGCAAATACCAGAGATATGGAAGATATTATTACCAGTCAAATCAGAGGAGGATAATAAATAATGTTAAAGCGTATTCAATTCACATTATGACATTCTAACAAGTTACTTATTTTGACTATAAAACGTCTTATTTCCCAACTGATTGTATTTTATTGATAGCACTAATATTACTATTTACTAATGTACTTTATCTTATATTGATTTTACTCAAATATCTAATAAGGAAGCAAGAAATTTGTGTGAGTGCCTTGGTATGATCATGAGAAATAAATTGTGCTCAAAACGTGGCCATCAGTAAATTTTACTGCTTAACACTATATGATTTTATCAAAATAAAATTTTATCCATAATGGAGTTATACTCTACCACGACAGTGTGCCCACATTTTATCCTTATATCAAGAATTAACCACGAACTTATCACCCAACAAATATGCAAAAGGAAGTGGAAATGAATTGGATTAATACGCTGAGAAGACATTTTAGTGACATCACACACCAGGCCCTTATATGGAAGTCACGCGAGAAAAGACTAGTTGAGTGGGATTCCAAGTTTGACATGAAGGAGATCGTATGACATGGAAGTGCAAGCTCAGGGTCACTCGTGGAGCCAGCTTCTAGAGACTTCAGAGAACAAAAAGAAATGACGAATGTTGGTGAAGCCTCACATTCCACTCGGAGCCAAAGGGATTAATAATAATTATAATTATTTATTCCTTTACGTTCCTAGTGGAACATAGGGTTTCAAACTACAGGCTTGAAGTTTCTGTAGCAGTGGTGATTATTTTTTATGGGATGGGGTTGCTAAAATCATGCCTAACCTTCTCTCTTTACCAGTCTTATTACTGGCTTAGGTTAGGTGGGGTGTGTCGGTGGCCGGGGATCGAACCCCGGACCACATGAGGCGTGGTTGGTGAGTATTCTACCGCTGTGCCACCAACGCACACTAATTATAATTAGAATATTAGATTTCGTTATGTGAACACATTGGAAACCTCCATAGTTTCCATAATCATTTACGACCTGCCTAACTCCAAGATGCACATCTGGGAATTTATACACTATTTGATTGGGTGTTTTGGGTACTACTGTTTTTTATTTCACATTTAGCTTTCAAACCCTTCTTCGTTTTACCTTCATTACTATTATTATTATCATCATCATCATTTTATTATAATCAGCTCATCACTGATGAAATAGCAAGACTTACACTAGTAATCAACACAAATCCTTCAAACAGATCAGGATTCGATTTATGTCGTCGAGGTGCACTATATAGAAAGGTAATGCTCATACTAATTTCTATTTATTGTGTTATCTAGCTATTTTATTATTATTATTATTATCGTAATCTATAATTCATTACTCTAAAAGAATACCTATCAGTGATGGGTTGATATGAGTAGCTAGACATTCATTTGAGGCCAAGCTCGTCAGACGTGTTCAAAGTTTGACTGAATCACGAATTATAACCAGCTACTTGAATGAACTTGTAATACAGAGTTCGGCTAGTCCGAACTAATTCATTTCCCTGCTGTAAGTTAGACTGAATACATCGATGTTGAACTCGATCTCAAGCGAGGGAAGTGGTTGTCCAGTGTTTAGATCGCTTCGATCTGACTAGTGATCATTACTTGTTAATGTGAGTGGTGTGTGTGTATGTGATCACTTATATCGACTAATCAGTAGTATATAGGGTCATGCATCAATCCCGGTGGGTGAGTACTGATGAAGAGTCCCAAACTAGGACGAAACAGCTGTCCAGTACTCCCAGGTTTTCCAATGGTTCTCTAACTAATGTCACCTCATGATGAAAATCCTGTAATGCTTAATTTCTTTGAATAAAGTAAGAACAACAGCGGATTACAGTTCAGTGACATCATTATAATAACTAGTAATTTATCACAGAGATATCCTGAAATGTTAGGAATAGCAAACTGAATAATAATAACAAAGAAAAGTTGAGTTAATAATACTAACAACATATTCTTTTAAATACATCACGAATAATAATAATATGACATGAAGTGAAATATTACTTAATGACAATGGTATTTAATAAGTAATATATACAACATGGTAGATTCAAAGTGACCATCATTTCCGTTTATACAAAGAGAGACCAATATTATAAAGTCTAACTGTAAGCATCTTTCTGTCTGTTTGTGAATTACTTGACAGTACCAGTATAATGTCCGTACGTAGTCTATAACTGTAACGACAGAAGACAAGGGCCAGCCAACGGATCGTTTATTGAGAATATAAAACAGATATCTATAGATTTTTGTGTTCATTATGATTCGTTATTATTAGAAGAGAGACAGAGTCTTCTGATTGGTTATTTTCCCCCTGAAGGTTATTCTGTCATCTCTTTGTGACCGTTTCTCTGAAGGTCAGACCAGATACCTGCTAATCGCATCCGCCCACACAAAGTCTACTGTGATTGGTTGTTGAGTTCCTCAAGGTTAGTCTTTGATCTTTTCTTCTCATGACCAAGATTTGGGACGTAAACATTGACGTAAATTGCTGTTTACCAATTTCGGCTAGCAGACATCTCTCACCACATAACATACTTAGTTAGTTATATCACACTTTTTGATATCTTGATATCACTAGGGCAAATGCTCGCTTACGCGAGTAAGCAATCTACCTTCCAGTATGACTGATAATATGCAAATGATAAAGAATACACAATTTCTAGTGGTAACTTACTTATTCTAACTGCTTTTACAATATTTATTGTATTTATTGTGTTCAATTTTTTTGCTGTTTATCATTGCAGATTGGTAGACTACAAGAAGCAAAACTTGATCTTGTTAAATCGATTGAATATGAACCGAACTTATCATCTGCTCATTGGCACATTCACTTTATACACTTACTTGAAGGTAAATTAGAAGAAGCACTGGAGGATTTGGATCAATGCATGAAATGCTTAAAAATTGTGGAATTAACAAAACATATTTTTAATTTAAATAACGATACTACTATTACAGGTAGTGTTAGTAGCAAGAGAAAATATTCAAAAAAAGTTCAACAATTCTATGAAAATATTCTTCATTCAAAAGCTTTTATCTATTCTCTCATGAACAATTGGAAATTGGAAGCTGAAGTATGGACAAATTTAATACAATTGAATCCTACATATGAGTTGGCTTATCTTAAAAGAGCTCATACTTATCTTAAGGTAATCAGTTAATTTGCATTTTTTTTCTTTTGTTGTTTTTTAGAGCAAACTTTATGATTCTCACCATTCTCTTTGCCATAGAGCAATGTTAACTGCGTTGATAGTTCATTGGTAAAATGCTCTTCATTCACATTGGAAGTGGTCTGTGTTCGATTCCCAGACGAAAAACTTCTAAACCTCTCTTAATCGATCGGAACCTAGGAAAAAGGGTAGGTTGGGCATGAGGCTAACGACCTCACTCCTCTAAAAAACATCAATGTTACCAAACCTGGAGCCGTAGGTTCCACTCGGAGAGCAAAGGAATGAAAAAATGCCAAATACGGAATGCCTAAATATCAGGCAAAAATGGGGCAAAGTTTAACTTTAAGCACCACTAACTACCAATCAGTGAACGACCTCGAATGTACCAATCACGCGAAGGAGGCATTTTTGTGTTTGAAATACATATTTTTATGAAAAAAATGAATAAAAACTGTAGAAAAGTATTATAGAGGATACCTTCCTCTCAAATGTCATGAAAAATAACTCACAGTTTTAGGTTGGAGTATCAACAGAGTATAATTTCATTGTGGGTAAAATTTATTTTGATGTAGTCTCATACTGTATTACAGTTATATTTACTAAGGAATTAACTGTGCTCAAAACGTTGTCATCAGTAATTGTTACTGTATAACACCACTGTGAGACTTTATCAAAATAAATTTTACCCACAATGGAATTATACTCTACCACCACAGTGCACAAGTTCTATTCTTATATCAACAGAGCAATTTAAACACATTCTATGCATGTAATTATTTAGGTCTTCTAAACGTAATCTATCCTGAACCTAACCCTAACGTGAAAATATCCCTAAACTAACTGTAATCTAACTCGAACCAACTCTAATGTCGACTTTATTAAGTTAACCTAACCCTAATTTGTCCTTGGCTTAAAGCATAACTTAATCTTTCTCAAACCTAAGCTGAAACTTGCCAGATATCCCATTTAAGAGCATAACATTTCGATGAGCATTTTTTATTGATGATGACAACATTATTTGCCGGATTTCACTAGCTAACTTTCTTCAGTGAGCGTTTCAAGGTCATTATTGAGGCCGCACTCCATCGGTAGTTAGCGGTGCTTAAAGTTTAACTTGGCCAAAAATGGTTAGTGATTAGGCTGTGGTCTCAGACACTTTACGTCTATCATCATATTCAGGATGGAAGCAAGAACAATCGAGTCTTGTTATGGACGTACTGCCATTTTTTCACAGGTCAGAACCTTGAAGCTTAATAGTAAAATGATGTGTAGGCTTTTATTTTTCAGTGCTGTTCTATTTAACACTGGTTCATGACGAACATAACTGTGGGAGAAATTCACAAACATTTTTCATTCTTTGAGTTTCAAGGTGAATAAAAGGCTTTAGGTATGAAGTTTCAGTAACAATGGTATTGTTTCTTTTTGGAACTGTCTGCTAGCCTCATCTTCAACGCCCCTCTTTTCTAAACTTTCTCTGGACTAGTAGAATAGCCGAGGTTTAGGTGTGTGTTGTCCAGGAGTCGAATAACTACTACCAACTATTAGACTTTTAATTGAACTTCCCTTTTTGGGAGATAAAGCTAAACAGAGGCATCTTAACGACTCTGAAAGTGAACTTATATCTCTCAGGTCTATTTACTGTTAGGACAGTGGAGAAGAATTAGAAATCGAGGGAGGTTTTGTGTTTAAAGTGTATTAACTTGGGAAATGTGCGTCGGTGGTTTAGTGGTTAGGACGCTAGCCGACCATGCACATGGTCCGGGGTTCGAACACCGGCCGACGCACTCCTTTACCTCGCTAAGCCAGAAATAATGCTGGTGAAGAGAAAAGGTTGGGCATGAGGCTAGCAACCCCATCCTGTAAAATAAACACTGCTACAGAATCTTCAAGCTACATGCTTGAATCCCTATGTTCCACTGGGGTAGGTGAAGGGTAAAAAAATTTTTGGAAATAACAAGGTTATGATCTAAAATGCTTATCTTCAGTTGCCCTGCAAACTTGAGTTGGCTGGAATGATCTTATCCTTTTTAACCGCTTTGGGTCTCATCACTTACATTCATTAGATTTCTTTTTCTGCTATTCCACTTCTCAACATACCTAATAACTTCAGATACCAGGTATAACTAAAGGTGTTTGCCTCTTATTCAATGGATATTTGATTGTAATTCATGGTTTGTGCTTAACATCGATAACTTGTGAGTAGTTGTATAACGACAGCAGATAAGAGAATTGGTAACAAGGAAAAGCGCATCATACTGATACGTTATTAACCACATTAAGTGTCTGCTAATCAGGGAACTACTCTAAACGGTTGGCGATTGGCCCAAGGCTCAACAAAGGGATGAAAAGTTGTCCAATGAGATAATTTCATGACTACGACGTGAACTAAATCCAGATTTGAGGAATAAACACTTCTACCTCTGTAGTCATGGAATTAAAGTGTTAATTTCAATATTTAGACGCTTGCTATCAATTTGTAACTATATGCGCATATCAAAAAGGGGAATAGAAATTAGGAAAAATGTGATGTAATCATGTCGTACCTCATAGGTTATATCGTGTTTAACTTCCGTCAAATTGATAAACGGAAATAAGTTCAAGAAACTTATTAATCTCTTGAACATCAATGAGATGCTCACTAGCGACTTGCCCTATTCAGGTAGGTAGTTGCCCGGGGTTCTAGCGAGAAGTCATGACCAGTGGGGTGCAGCAGATCGGGTGTGAGAACAAATACTCGCCGAAGACATTGGCTATGGGTCGCGCTATGTCGTGAATTGGCAGAAATTAGGATTCATGGGCTGGCCATTGGATCAGGTCCCAGTGGCTTAATGGTCTACGAGCTAGCTCGCCTTGTAACCAGAAGGTCCTGGGTTCGAACCCCTGTCGGTGGGTGAGTACTGATGAAGAGTCCCAAACTAGGACGAAACAGCTGTCCAGTACTTTCAGGTTTTCCAGTAGTTCTCTAACTAATGTGAGCTCATGATGAAAATCCTGTAACCAATCAAATCCTTACAAACCAACACTTGAAAACGATATTGTCGGTTTTACTGACGTTTCGCTATTTAATGCTGCTAGTAGCTTTATCAAAGTAGTGTCATTAAACCAGAATTTACAAAATCCACTCAGCTTATATATATAACAAAGAGTTCGGAGGTGAGAAAATAGACTTAGTTCAAGTTAAATTAAAAGCACATATTGAAGGGCAAAATAACAAATAACGTTTGTGAATAATAATTCTGTTATCTCACACCACCCTCTTCACTCACAACTCCCCTTGCATCTCAACAGGTAAAACCAGAAGCCTATATAGAAAACTATATGCTCGCACCAGTAAGTATAAAAACTCAACCATACCCTACTTAGCTAGTGTTCTGTGTGATAAAGAAAGCATTAGGCGTGACACCTATAATTCATTAAATAGTCAGTAGTACAACTGGATCTCGTCTTTCCAACTCATATCATTCATAGGTACAACATTTTCTTTCTTTCTTTTCCTTTTCTCTCTCTCTTTTTCCGTTATGTGCTGCTTTGTTTCTTTCTCTCGCTTACGCCAGTAAATATGACAGCACCTACTTTTCTAACACCTTCAAACACTGTTCAGCGTTGGCTTTGCTACCGACATGCCAATATGTTGTTGTAATAATGAACTGTGATTTCCTTAATCTATGTAGGATTATATTTATTGATAGTGTACTAAGTGGATGCAATACTGTAGTAAAAATGCTGAGAGTTCCATTCTGTATCACAAGTACTGTTTTGGAATAAAGCAAATTATTATTATTACTTCTATGCTTTGCAGGTTCTAACGACTAGATTGATTTTCCCGGCTTATGACTGGCTAGTTATTCAATAGTGAACTAGTGAACTCTATAGAGAGAATCAGATGATCAACCCCAAATTATAAACACCAAGGAACTTGGGCCACGAGAGCCACCTCATTCTTGTGCAACGGGTTATATTAATTTTAATTGAATTTTAGATTTTCCCGTCGATTGATTGGACTGAAATGCTTGGTCTCAGGTTGACATATCGGCTTCTTGTGCAGATGATTTGACAATGTCCGGACATGTAATTAGACGGGAAAATCTAAAATTCAATTAAATAATTGATATGACCCGTTGAACAAGAGGTAGCTGTCGTGGGCCAAGTGGTCTAATGGAAAACGCTTTGGCGTTTGAAACTATGGGCACTTGGTTCGAGCCTCGGTTGGAACAGCTTCACTCACTGGGAAATGGTTGCAGGCCTATCCAGATGACGATTCCTAAATAGGACGAAATACGCATCCTGGATTCCACTGCTAGTCACCACCCACCAATTAAATTCTAATTAAAAATGCCCAGACATCGTCGAAGCATCTGCACAAGAAGCCGACATGTCAATTTGAGATCGAGCCTTTCGGTCCACTCAATCGACGGGAAAATCTAAAATTCAATTAAAACCAAGGAACTTTATAGATAGATCAAGCAACAGCATACTGCTCTATAAAAGTTCAGAAAGAAAATTCACATGAATAAGGCCAACACTGAAGAGACCTCTGACTGATATTATGTACCGGCTATACCTTCAAGGGAATCCCAAATGAGAAACGCTGAGTTTGGGGTCCAAAGGAAGCATAAAACTATATACTACTGATTGACTAATATGAGTATTTGAGCACCACTCATATTTTCGTTTTGTGTCACTACTGATATTGGCCATAAATAATTAAACTTATGAAAGCAATGATTCAAAATATTAAGAACACAATATTCAGCGAAGGGACTCTTTTCAACAACGAATTTATTATCAAGCTGTACAATCGTAAATATACGGTTTTTAAGAAATTATATCCGGTGAGGGAATTGAATCATAGGTGTGAATACATGAAATAATAATAATAATAGTGTCAAATGCAATTAAAACATATGTGATTATAATCATAGTTAAATGTCAAGTGGCAAAATAATTGTCATGCATGGAATAATACATAGGATGTATAGATATTGTTGGAAAGGGGTTTATAATTATAGGATTAGTAGGCGAATATGAAATGTTTCATAACTTAAAGTGACATTTGATAAGACAGAATTCAATATTGTAAAAATAAGAAATAATATTAATTTTGGAATTATAATGACAAGTGAAACAAGCGGAAACAATTCAGAGTGAGAATAGTAATAATAATAATAATCGTAGTAATAAGGGAAAAGTACATCGAATAACTAAATAAACAAAATACATAATTAAATAAATGTCTATCCCTTTACGGCCAAGGCAGATGTAGGGATTGTACATACTTCCCTGGTATACAAAGGTCTCGTTGGCTTAAAGTGATGAATTGCCAAGGCCTCCGTTGTCTTTAGAAGCCCGAATAAGGCAAGAACGTCAACCGTACCAGGATGAAATTTTGAGCCCAGCTTTTATTATTTCGAGGGTTCTTCTCGTGACATGACAAGGAGTAAATGGTAGGAACTAAGAATAACAGAAGACCAGAATGATGTAAGTTGCTGAATAATTTAGAGTAAAAGGAATAGACTATTTATAAGAACATTATGTGACTATACTTGGAAACAAAAAGACAGAGTTCAAAAGAGCTTTTGGGTAGGAACAAAGTTTAACTGGAACAAATAATAGGTAATGTAGCCACAGGAAACATGTTTTTATAAAACAGACAAAAAATGAGCCGGAACAGAAGGTGTCGAAGTGAGATTTGCATACTTTGTCATCACTACTTCAGTGCGAGATTCACCACTGTCTCTTTCTGCGTGCATAGATTTGTTTTTGATCGTTTGATGACTATTGCCTCAGTAGACTAAGTTTCTTTTGTCTTTTGCCTTTTGATTATTTTGAACGACTTCAGGTTGTCCACAACATGACCAGTGTCTAGTAGATGGTGTGCAGTTGCACTGTTTAATGCATATATTCTGTAATGCGGGTAATAACCCATCTCTATATTCTTCCAATGTATATGCTTTAGCACTCACATGTAAATTTGTAGACACAGTTGGATGTAACATGAGAATGGAGTTTCTCCACTTTTGACTGTCTGAAACAATTGGTTGTTGGATAAACACATAAAAGCTTGGGGGCTGGATATGTTGTTCTTTTCAGGGCATCATTCAGTCTGCATGTTATTCTACTAGCAGTAACATCAACTTTGAAGGGAACCTGTAGAAAGAAGGACATTTTCTCTATTGTGCTGTAACTCACTTTATCAACACGAAGTCATTGTTAACATGAGTTTATTAGAAGAACTTGAATCAAAATAATATGGTGATTGATACCATAGTGTAAGCATTCCATCTGTCTGTAAAATTCTTCTTCACCGCTCATTTATCTTTTCAAAAGTTATTAAGGTGATACCAAGTAGTCTTACCCCTTTATTTCATTATTTCTTTCTTTCCCCTATATTACTTAATTCAGTTGAAAATGTTTCAACATTCAAATACTGATTTTATAAAAGTACTTTGTTTAAATCCGAAATCAGTTGAAGCTCAGTTTCAGTGCGGTTTATACAAATATTATAGCAGGTAAACGTATATTCAAGGTTTTTTAAAATTTTATCTTACCAGTAGTGAAGAAATAAATTCTCAGATTGAATTCCCTTTTTTTAAATATTACTAATATGTATGCGTTAAATGAGCCACTTGACTGATGAAATTTTTTCATGAAATATATATGGTCACTCACAGTAACTTTGCCATTTCGTTTGTGAAACATTTCAGGGATAATTCCTCAAAATTCATGTCAATCAGTTAGGTTTAGTCAAGTTTGACTTAACAGGTTCAAGAGATGACTGTTTGGTATTTGAACTACGCTGATTATATTAGGATAATCCAAAATCTTCAGGATCGATCCCCTATGACATCACGGTTGGGTACCTTTGAAGAGTTTTAAACTGGGACATAACAACTGTCCAGTATTCTCTGCTTTTCATCGGTTCTCTCGCTGACATCAATCCATGTTCAAACTTGAAATGAATCAAATCCCAACAAACTAACTCTTAAGAATAAACAAATAAATTAGTTTCTAGGTACACCATTCATCCTAACGACAGCCTTTAGTATCCAGGAAAAATGTTAGGAAAAACAATAATTAAAAAATATGAAAAATAAAAAGGGTAATCAAATATAAAAGTACAGGCCGAGTGATACCGCTGTGTCTTAACTTCCTTATGTAGAAGGTAAGAAGACAAATTCTGTTGTTGTTGTTTTTGCAAGAAATCGACATGATGTTGGACAATCAGAGAAGATCAGATGAAAGACTTAATCCAAGATAGCTAATAATATGACTTAGTTTGTCCGGGAGAGAATCCCTGGATGAAAAACTTCGACCGGAACAGGCTGGATTCAGGAGAAACAAGTCATGTATTGATCACATTGCCACATTACGGATCATCATTGAACAGAGCTTGGGATGGCCGTCTGTCAGCTCTCTATCTCAACTTCATCGACTTTGACAAGGCATTCGACAGCGTAAATCGAGAGGTGCTACTACTAATACTTCACTACAACGGAGTGCCACCGACAATTATACATCTCATCCAACAGCTGTACGACAGTACTGCATGCCAAGTAGTCCACAACGGGAAATTCACCGAATCCTTCGAAGTGAGGACAGGAGTAAGACAAGGCTGCCTACTATCGCCAATGATTTTCCTGATTGCAGTAGATTGGATAATGCGACAAACAGTGGGCAATGAGGAAACAGGCATAAAATGGACTCACACAAAAACTTGGAGGATCTGGACTTCGTCGATGATGACATATGTCTGATATCCCGCAAACTGGAAGATATGCAAGCGAAAAGCAACAAGTGGGAATAATAAGCATCCATAGAAGATGGGACTTCAGGTGAACATACAGGAAACAGAGGTATGTGATGAAGATTCCTGGGCAACACCACCCAGAGCAACAACAACAACAGACAACGATCAGCATAAATGGGAGGAACCTGAAAGAAATAACCTCCTGTACCTAACTGAGAAGCATCGTTTCAACTACAGGCGGATGGGACTGACGAGTATATCAAAGCAGCGAGGATTGGGAAAGCAAGACAAGCTTTCACTACTCTCAAGTCTGTGTGGAGGTCAACAGCACTCAGCATCAAAAATAAGATCCGGATTTTCAACTGCAATATGGAGTCAGTCCTACTTGCTATACGGATTAGAGACTTGGCGCGTCAGTAGAGCAATGAAAGCTTCGCAACCAAACCATCCAGCTCTGAGAACACAACCACACCAAAATCACCCACCTGAGCTACAAATCTTCTCTATTATATCTAAATGGCCTTCATTCGATAAGCGAAAACAGCTGACAGCTACAGGGTTGGAAGGTTATAAGTGGAGGGTTACCGGCGTAAGTACGCACAGCTGTGGAAGACCTTTCTTTGCATATGGAGTATTACTATTCTCCTGAATGTTTTATATCTCCCTGTGGGTCGGCGGCACAGCGGTAGAATGCTCACCAACCACACATGTAATCCTAGGTTCGATCCCTGGCTGACGCACTCCTTTACCTCACTAAGCCAGTAATAAGATTGGTAAAGAGGAAAAGTTGGGCACGAGGCTAGCAACCCCAACCCTTGATAAATAAATGAAAATAGACCCCACTGCTATCGAAACTTCAAGCTTCTAGCTTGAAGCCCTATGTTTCACTGAGAATATAAAGGAATTAACAAAAACTGAGTGTTTTATATCTTCCTAAATTATCACTGGATAAAATACCTCTTAGGATGGTATGGTAACGGTTAAAATGAGAATATCGTCTATTCACTAGCAGCATCATACAATTACCGGATGGTTCTCTCAGCCGTTACCTCTTCCAGTCTGCTTGATGGAAATTATCCTGAAAAAAGAAATAAAGTTAGGCCCAGCCACCCTACCCCGAAAAACCAGTCCAATCGTTACAAAAACTGCCGAACACGAAAATATAAGAAATGAAATTATTCTTCATTAGAACTGGTGAGACAAAATGATGCGGGTTATTGGAAGCCTTCGGGAAGCCAGTCAGTCAGCGTGTCTTCTTTCCATGAAAGCAGAAATTAAGCATTGGGACATAGAATGCTCACACAAAATATCCACTTGTTTGCAAAAGGTTATATTAAGACAACACAGTGTAATAATGTATATCCGAATAGATATCTCTTAGCACATAGTAGAAAATTACCGGAAGGAAGCAATTGTTATTTCATGGGGATAAAGTCAACTGATAGACAAGACACCGGTCTTCTTGTCAGAATGTAACTGGTAATCAACTCAGCGCCCAGTATGTGTCACAGCATGCCAGGTGTAATAAAGAGACTTGAGTTAATAAGTGAATGTGTAATCAAGGAAGTCACAACGCATATATCTGGCGCTTTTGTCTAAATTAAAACAACAATGTGAGACAGCGGTAGAGTCAAATTTACTTCGAGCCTTTTTGTAAACAAACTGTCTCAGATCGTTGAATGGCCTTCAGTGAAGATTCGAGATTAATTAAGATCGGTTTTTCGATTGTTACTGAAAGTGTGAGGTAACGGCAGAGGATCTAAACCTTAGATTTTACCCACTGGAACCAGAAAAATGCGAAGCCATCATGAATTGTATAATAGGATTTCAAAACCATAAAGGTTTTACACCTGCAGAGTGTGAGAAATGCTGTTTCTATTGTAGAATAAAGAAACTTCTGACACCATCCCCTGTTCAGCAGTTTAACTTTTACTTCATGACATTTTGTAATTGAGATGGCTGTTTCTTGCAAGATGAAAGTTACGGTAAGATTTGGTGAATAACTGTTTTAACTCCCACCTTTAATGTCAACACGAAAAAGACAGATAAACAGCTAGTTACGATCTTCATTATATCTTCGCTTATAACCTTTCTGATAAACACTATTTACCTGCCTTATACTATTCACACATATTTTTATTTTTTCTTCTTCTTCTAATGAACATAGTAACTGGAGGAGAGCAGTGGATTATTTTCAAGAAGTCCTGCTCAATGATCCAAGACACTTTCAAGCACATTATTATATGGCTAGAAGTTTAATTAAATTGTATAAATATGATATAGCCTTAGCTGAACTAACAGCTTGTCTTTACTTTGAACCAATGTATTACAAGGTAGGTTTATATATGATTCTTTCTTCTGTGCTAGTTAATCGACTCAATCCGTCTATTGTTTCGTAGAAATTTAACCTACTTTAATTGTAATTCAGTAGTATAATTTGATCAGTCTAATTATCTCCTATTATTATTCCTAGAATAACAGTAGGTATGCGTAAATTTATTCTCTTTCCATTGGTTAGTGAATCTTCGGTGACTTTAAACTGTGATGCTGTAACTATGTTTTCATTAGACTGCATAATACAAAACCACTGAAAAGAATTAAATGATACCCGTCTAACTTTAAATATTATGACAATCGAATAACAAATGGATTAGACAACTATTTAGAGCATTTAGATTTAGATATGGCAACAGTCTATGTTTTGAATTCATTACTGTCTGATTAACAATAAGTCAAGAAAAAACTTCTCAGCAGTTCAACATTCCAAACTCTTACAAGAGGAAATGAGATAACAAATATAAAATGGTCCATGGGAGAGAAAATTACTTCTCAAGTATTGGTCTACAAGAATTTAGTTAATTTCAAGTTAGGCTGCGAAATGACATGAGTTAACGAACCATATAAAATCATAAAGTACTGGATAGCTGCTTCGTCCTAGTTTGGGACTCTTCAGAAGCTCACACCTGTAATAATACTAGGCATCGAAGCCAAGGTCGTCGTGATTCAACTTGAAATCAGTTGAATTCCTGCAAACCATTGCTTGAAAATGTATCTACTGCTCACTAATGGCTGACTGCAGGATGAAGGTCTTGGGTTAAGAAGTCTTCAGAGGTCGGGTCTGTGGACAGATCCTCGTCGGTGACACTGGTTAACTGTGGCGATGACGGAGGTTGGAATTCACCAGTCAGTCGACAGGCCCGCTTCGTAACCTGATTGTCCTGGGTTTTATCATGCGTGGGATAGATCCATAGTGTACGCTAGTACAGGAATTCTCTTTCTACATGTTATACACCTGATAACTGCTACTAAACATAATTTCACTGCATTACTTTATAATTTCTGATCATTTATTTGATTAGCTTGAAGCCTTATGTTCCACTAGGGGCATAAAGGAATGGGAAAAATTCAAATGTGTAAGAACCACAGTTTCCGTAAATAAACTACCTTCATGTTGGACAGCTTTGACTGCTTGCCCTGTAGGTTTAACATCCTAGAATTTTGACTACGATAAGAATACTCCTTGAAGGATTAAACTGCTTTTATAAAAATTATTTCAGCCATCGATGAATATGAAGTATTGGCAAAACAATCTATCCTTATTTTATAGGCATTGTATACACGTGGATGTTTGCTAGCTAATGTTTGTCCATTGCAATCACTACGTGATTTAACTATGTGTATATGTATTGGTAATAAGAAATATCAGACTATGGCTTTTATTCAACGTGGATTACAGTTTTATCAAATGAAAAAGTGAGTTGGCTTTTTTGTTGATTAAATGGTAATATTATTATTATTATTGTTCCCTTGGGTTCCTAGTGGAACATAGGGCTTCAACTGCACGTCTCCACTTGCTTCTGTCTTCTGCTGTACTTTTCACTTGCATCCATGTTAGTCCATACTGTTTCAACTCCTCTTCACACGATCTCCTCCATGTCACCCTTGGACGTCCCACTCGCCGCTTCCCTTTCGGGTTCCACTCGAGCAATGGCCTGACGCGCGATGTCACCCACGGCCTCCTCAGCGAGTGTCCAATCCATCTCCACTTTCTCCTGCATATTTGTTGGGTGATTGGTTCTTGTTTCGTTTGTTCCCATAGTTTCTTGTTGGTGATTCTTTCCGGCCATCTGATCTTCAGTATAGAGCGAAGACAGCTGTTGTTGATAAAGGTCTGCAACAGGCTGTTGGAAATATTCTTTGTGACCCGCCAAGTTTCTGATCCATCCGTATAGAAGAACTGACTGACTTGACGTTTGTATTGAAAATCCGAATTTTGTTGTTGAGTGTTGCTGAGTGACGAAGATTTCCAGATTGGTTTCAGGTTGATGAATGTGTTTCTCGCCTTCATGATTCTCGATTTGACATCTTCGTCCGTTCCTCCTGTAGTTGAGACAATGCTCCCTAGATAAGTGAGTGAATGAAGTAACCTCTTTCAAATCCCTCCTGTTGATGGTGATTGGCGCTGGATGTTGCTGCTGCTGTTGTTGTTGTTGGTTGGTTATTTTCATAACCTCCGTCTTGTCTATGTTCACCTGGAGTCCTGTCTTTGCTGCTGATATTTTCTAGAATTAATCAAATGGTAATATTCTTATGATTAATTCTAGAAAACATCAAAATATTGATTAATAGCCTCCTTTTGACTAGACTTAATAAATACACCATAAAAAGGCTTTATCTGTGTGATTTTCTAGGTTGGAAAATTTATGCTGATTGTTTAACATGAGTAGTTGGACACGCCTCGCATTAGCCAGTAGCTCTGGTTAGCCAGATAGAAGTGATCTAACCATTGGACATCCATTCGCCTCGTTTGACGTTGAGCTGATCAGAGGTGTTCTTGGTTTATCTCAGCTCGGAGGGCTGAATCAATTTAAAGGACCTGAATTCTGGCTGCCTAGCTACTTAGACCAACTGGTAATATGTCGAATCACACTCGCAATCCATAATTTGAAAGTTGCGAACTCATTCGCCAATTGCGTATTTGATTTAAAAAAGACAAACACTAAACTAAATAACAAGTTACAAGACTTAATGATTACGAAATTTATTCTGTCCTTCCTTGCTTCCTTGGATTTGGTTAGTTAATAAGAAAATAGCAAATGAGTAGCAGTTGATGTGTATATTTCTAAAAATTAGTAAAACAAATTACAAACAAACATCCATAACTCGGCCTCGTAACTTGAAGGTGCTTGGTTCGAACTCCGCCGAAGTAGTGAATATGTTCTCCCAAACTGGGATAAAAACAGGTGTTCAGTGCTCAATGGTTTTGAATGATCTCTGTAAGTGATGTTAGTCCAAAATTTCCGCAAATATCTTACGTTAGTGAATATCCAATTCATGTCCACTACCTTCAACCTAGGTTAGGAGGGGAAATCAATAGACGAGGTTGTGAAGTTACATAGACTGAGATGGTTAGGACATGTGTTACCTATGACTAGCCATCGCCTCCCTCGGCAACAGGTGATGGTAGCTGACATAGGGTCAGGTTGGAAAAGAGCTAGTGGTGGTCAAACCAAAACATGGCATCATCAGTCAATGAAATCCACAACAGTTAGTTTAAGCCAGTCACGTAGGGAGGTGTAGACTTCCTGACTGGTTGGGGTCGTCAGGACGGTAAACACCAATGGTTAGAGACAATTGGTGATATGGCTCAAAATCGTTCTCAATGGCTGACGCAGATGCATCCACTCCTTGTGACTTATAATACCCAATAAAACTATATTGTTTTTCGATATTGCTATTCTTTTTGCGTCATATCTCTGTTTACTGTTTCTATTTTGCATTTCTTTTTACTTTCTTCCCTGGTTTTGTGTGCTGAGTGAAGTGTGGCGACTCGAACTGCGGCACATCGGTGCAAAGATCTATGTTGAAACCAGTCAGTCAGTCAGCCTATTTCTTCAACGACTGGTTCTTGGTTGGTTTGTTCCCATCATTTCTGGTTATCCGATCTTCAGTATGAAGATGAGGCATCTTTTAATAAGAGTATGAGGTTACCTGTCGGAAATGCTTTACGTTACATGCCAATACTCATAATCATTTAAAGCCATTGACTTGAACGGCAGTAATGGTGAAAATTTAGATCATATCGCTTATTCTTAGTACAGTAGTTTTCCACAATAATTTCAGGGTAATGAATACACCTGCCTTGCTTACACAATCCCTTCTTTGACATCCTCATCCTTGTCGCCTGTGGTTGAAATGATGCTTCCCAGAAAAGCGGAAGATTTGGCTTCTTTCGAATTTCTCCCTTTGATGGGGGTTTGTTCTTGTTTTTATCAGTTGAGTATCATCATCATCTCTATTCTCTCTTTGTTCACTTAAAGAAAACATCTGATAACTGTACTGAATAAGCAGGTCTTGTATGACCTTGATGATGGTCCCACTATCATTGACGGCATAGAGGTTGAAACTACATCAGATGTCAAGTACCTTGGACTGAGTATTTCCTCCGATCTTTCCTGGTCCTCTCACATCTCCCTAGTCACTAGAAAGATGTTTCGCTTAACGTTCTACCTAAGGAAGTTTAGGCAGTCTGGTATAAAGCAGTCTTTACTTTCTCAGTTTGTCAATTCCTGTATTCTACCCATCCCTCTTTACTGTTCCCCATTAATCTTTCCTGGACTACTTAAGAAAGACTTTGCTTCGCTGCATAGGGCACTAAAAGCTGTTAGTAGGGCAAGTGGGATTTCGTTAAACCAACTGGTTAACACCATTGTGGATAGACATATAATGTCATGTAAGAAACTAGCAAATTCTATATTGTCAGACCCCGAACACCCTCTCTATACGCAGCTCTCTCCTTGCATTTCATCTGGTAGAACTAGAAGCAACTATAGGAGGCTATATGCCAGGACTACCAAGTACAAAAACTCCACAATACCTTATCTGGCACAGCTGTTATGTGATGAGAAAACTGTTAGGCATGACATGATCAATTTACTGCGGCACTCTAACAAATAGTTCCCATTAGCTTTTGTTCTCCTTTCTTTGTTACTATTATATTATTGCTCATATATTCTATTACAGACTAATTTTATATATCATATCCTGTGGTGCATTGTTTAAATATGTGAATGCAATGCTGTTCTCTTTTTTTTCTTTTATTTCTCTTTTTCTTTTTGTTGTTGTTGCTTTATATTGCTAAATCCTTATAAAATTTATGAGGTAATTAGATGCAATATTGTAATGAACGCTGAAAATTCCATACCTGTACCACAAATACTGTTTGGAATAAAGCCATTATTATTATTATTAATACTAAAATCATCAGCCAGTTTCAAGAATTAGGAACCGCCTTCCTAAAGAGTGAGTATCACCAACACCAAGACAATCTTAGTATCTGTGTATAGCGAAATTATGCACACCTTATCTTTAACTCACCATCTGCACAGATTATTTTTTATTTTTTATTATTTTATTATAGCTTGATTCCACACCGTATTTTTGGTACAAGTATGAAATTTTCAGCATGCAATATCGGTAGCCCAAATTTAGCAGGCCGACCATAGATATCAGGTGTGCGTCGGCGGGGGATCGAACCTCGGACCATGCGCATGGTCGGCGAGAGTCCTAACCACTGTGGCACCGACGCAGTGCTACTTCTGGCCTTTATACTCTGTTTCTTTGTGTTGCTTTCACATCTTCCATATATCTCTGCAATTCTGTGTCTTTCACTTTCTCTGAAATCAAATCTATCTCCCTGCTATTTGATGTTTTTATGCCGATGAACATCTCTTCACATATATACATACTGCTGATACATTTTATCAGTAGCATACGCTACACACAGTTATGACTGTGTAGAAATTGCAAAATATAATTGTGTTAACGTCATAGGTTAATGTTAAGCAACATTTAGACAAAATTAGGGAGATAAAATAGTACGCTTCTTGATCTGAATGATAGATTTCTGCAAAAATGCTTCAGATATTGAAAAAAACATAAGATAACTGTGAGCCTGAATTTTCACAACCATCCATTTCAAACTGACTTTGACACACTACTACAAAAAAACGGATTGTCACTCTAAAAGAGACAGCTAAAATGCTTAAAGTCAGTTCCTTGGAATAGGTTAATCGTTTATCAGGCTGAATGCCATTACCGGTCGCCCCTGCTCAAGTAGGTATAGTGGTGTAACGAGAGATGGCAAGGGCCAGGCAACAGGTAGTTTATTGAGAAAATCAAGAGGTATTGATAGATTTTTTATGTGCATTATTATTAGCGGTATTGTTAGCGGAGAAGCAACCTCTTCTGATTGGTTATTTTCTTGCTGAAGGTTATTCTGTCATCTCTTTGTGGCCGTTTCTCAGAAAATCAAGCTATTTATCTGTGAGTTGTATTTCCACACGTTAACTCCTCTGTGATTGGCTGGTGATTTTCTCAAGGTTAAGCTGAATCGTGAATGGGGAATATTGACGTAAATTCTTGTCTACAATTTTGCCTTTCAGACAGCTCTCACCACAGTGGGGCTCAAGCTTACTACCCACTGGCTGAAAAGCTAATTCTTAAGAAAATGAGAATGTCAAAGGCAGGATCGGAAAAGCCAGACAGACTTTGATTACTGTGAAACCAGTGCGTCGGTGGCACGGCGGTAGAATGCTCGCCAACCACGCCTCGTGTGGTTCGGGGTTGGATCCCCGGTCACGGACGCACTCCTTTACCTCGCTAAGCCGGTAGTAGGACCAGCAAAGGGGAAAGGTTGTGCATGAGGCTAGCAACCCAGTCCCTTAAAAATAAACACCACTGTTACCGAAACTGCAGCGCACTCCAGCTTGAAGCCCTAAGTTCCACCACTGGGAACGTAAAGAAATAAAAAACTCTGAAATCAGTGTCGAAATCTACTTCGTTCTACATAAAGAAAAAGATTGGGATTTTAAATACTGGTGCTAGTCACGTCAGTGCTTCTCTATGGTTCACAGCCTTAGTGTTTCAAGAAAAGCATTTCCAACAGGCTACTGAGGATTTTAATCAACACCTACTTTCGTTGACTCTGTTGGGAAAATCAGATGGCTGGTCAGGGATGATTTGTAACAAAGAACTCTAGCAGTGCAGCAAACCAGCCGAGAACTTGTCGTCTAACCGATATGTACACGAGGTTGGAGACAGATTTGACATATGTTGAAGGTACTGTTGAGTGACATTATGCCCCACACCCTAGGGTACACTCTAAGTAGGAAGCTGGGCTTTGAGTGGGACTCCAAATGCGACATGAAATAGATCGTGTGAGGAGGGGATGAAAGCTTATGGTCAGTTGTGGAGGCAGCTAGAGAGGAATGCAAAGAACCGAATGAAGCTCGATGATATAATAATAATAACATAAGCCAATGAACCGTACCTCGACCAAAAAGAAATTTCAAATAAACGCCAATCACGATTATTCATCAGAAACCAGAATGTTCAGATGAGAGACGATAGTAATAAATTTTTCAAACATTTCGTTTTCTTTTAATTTCCTTGTTTTTTTTGTACAGATATACAATGGCGATTCATGATTTTCATGCAGCTCTTCACAATGGACATCAACAATGTTCTGACGTGTATCGTCTACTTGGATTAAGCTATATCCGGATGAAACTTTGGACTAGGTTGGTTTACTAGCGTGTAATATATTCAGCTAATTATAATCTAATTAATACTACTATTCTTTCTTTAGAGCTATTCAGATATTGACAGAAGCAATGAAAGTACTGGACAAACCTAATGATATTGTAAACATTTTACTGTGTAGAGCAGAAGCATACAATGGGAAGGGTCAAGTACGTCCAACATTCTTGGTTCGAATCTCTTTTTTTTTCTTTTAAAGATGTAACCACTTTTGAGATATTTAGCATTTCTTCCACTAATGTCTTTAACTTCTGAACAGTAGAAGAACATCCAGTGATTTTACATATCCCAGATATGAGAACGAATTACTCAATTAGAGATCAGCTGAACCACTGAAATCTACACAAACGCTATAGGAAGGAAATAAAACTCTACTAAATGCAAGTTTAGGAAAAAAAGGAGGATAGTTTCATTGGAAATAATGGGGATTTAACTGATTTGGGAGATCATTAAAAGTGGGTATATCTGTGATATCAGTACACAGACATTAAATGTCCCATATGATAGAGAATAGTTGTAGCTCAGGTAGATGATTTTGATGTGGTTGTGTTCTCTGAGCTAGCTGGATAGTTAATTTGCGAAGCTTTCATCGACCTACTAGGCGACATCTTCAGTGCATACCTCAATTTGAAGTGAGCTTTTCGATTTCTCCGCGAGCTTATTAATCATCTCTCCCGAGAGAGATCTCCCGTGGAGAAATCTAAAAGCTCACTTCAAATTGAAGTGTGCGCAGAAGATGTCGCCTAGTAGGTCGATTAGAGCTTCGCAAATGAACTATCCAGTTCAGAGAACACAACCACATCAAAATTAAATCCCCCATTTAGTACGTTGGTGGCACAACGGTAGAATGCTTGCCAACCACGCATGTGGTTCGGGGTTCGGTCTCCTGCCGACATACCCCTTTACATCGTTAAGCCAGTAGTAAAACTGGTAAAGAGAGGAGGTTGGGCGTGAGGCTAGCAACCCCATCTCGTAAAAATAAACATCACTGCTACCGCAACTTTACGCATCTAGCTTGAGGCCCTATGTTCCACTGGGAACGTAAAGGATTAAAAAAATATCTGTGACATTGAGAATGATTTATCCATGCCATCAACAGTCTCCACAAAGGAATTCATTGGATCTCGAGGATTTCAGTAGGATAGATTACACTTCATTACTTGGCTTCAACCAAAAGTTAAAGACAACATGGAGTGGTTCAATTATTTTCGTCTGACTGGCATCTTCTGACTTTTTCCCGACGGATCAAAACGTTGACTTTATTGAAAATATTAGGTGTATTTAAGCTAGACATTTAAGTTTTGGAATACACACATTATGTTATAGGAAACAATTAAAAAGACGGTCGCAGTGAAGAAACTTTTCTTTTCGATGAAGTCATGAGTGAGAAATGTTTCCGATCGGGGATCAAATCAAAGCGGATAGCAAAATAACAAATAAGGATTAAAAACGTAATAATATTAAAAGTGAAAAAAGAAAAATAATAAATCCTCTGGTGTTCTAATTTTATTTTATTTTTTAAAATTTCATTCTTTACACTAATATACCAATCTATATGGGGTTAGAAGCGGTTAAAGGGAAACTAACTTCTGATCCCGAACTTAGTCATAGCACAAAGCTGCCAAATGAGAAAATTATTTTAGGAATTCAGTTAAGCCTAACATCTACTGTAGTTAAATTACAGTGCAAAATATATAAACAAACAGATGGTGTAGCAATGGGATGGATCACCAATATCCCCTATCGTATGAGACATCTTTATGGACAGCTGGGAAAATATCGCTCTCAATACATTTGATCCTACTCCATAAATATGGTGGAGATATGTGGATGACACTTTCACTCACAGTGTTGAAAACAGAACATATCTCTCTCTAGCTTCTTGACACATATAAACTCACTAGTAAAGGGAATAAGGTTCACAATTGAATCGGAAAATGAACAAGGAGAATACGCCACGGTGTCAGATTGTAAAATAAAACTAACAGAAGTAGACAAACTGCACACTGATCCGCAGTGTTCCAGTTTGATCGATGCATGACTTGTTTCTCCTGAATCCGGTCTGTTCCAGTCCAAATTTTCCATCCAGGGTTTGTTTGATTCTCTGTTGAATGATGCGGCTTAGTATTTTGCTTCAGATGGACAGGAGCACAGTGCCGCGCCAGTTCTTGCATTGACTCAAGTCTCTTTTCTTTGGCAGTTTGAATAAGTAGCCTTTCTTCCAATACTCGTGTACCTTGCCCTCTTTCCGCACCTCCATATGCTGTAATTTTATCACAAATTATTCAAGTGTGAATTATTCTACAAGTGTAATCATATAAATTTCCATCCTTAAAATGGAATTTTTATTGACCAGTTGTATGGGAGTGTACAATATTTAACAGGCGGTTGATATACTCAATTTTCTTCATAAGGGAAGTCATAAAACTCCAGTTTCTGTGAACGTCTTTTCTGTACTGTTTAATATCTTCAAATAACAACTTAGCTGTTCATCAATATACTTATAGAAAAGGCTTAACAGTCTTTAAAGTGAAGTGAATACATCATTCTTAATTGGTTTTGGTGTAAATATCCTGGTGAACATGATGTTAAAGTAACTCCATTATGGATAAGATTTTATTTTGATAAATCACACAGTGTTATACAGTAATACTAATTGATGTCGTTTCGAGCACAATTTATTGCTCATAATCAAATCAAGTCACTCTCACACAACTTTCTAACTTCGTTTATATAATTCCACTATTTTCCCTCGCTTGATTTGATTGGTAGTAGTATTTTCCATATTTCCAGCATGAGTGACGAGTCATTCCTATTGCATGTGTTGGGTGTAGATTCACTCGATGAACAAGGATTCAGTAATCAAACTCTCTCTCTACCTACCTAGATTACTTTTTAGAATTTTAAGCCTCTCCCACACTATTGTGTGGTTGTGTGTTAAGCATACAGTGCAATCTCTGAGCTTTACTCTAAATTACTCATCTTCTTGGGGTCAACCTTTCTTACATTAGCTTAATTCCTATGTTCCGACAGTCTGACTACCCCCGATCTACTAGTCTGACCTATGTAGTTGGCTTAACTCGCAGTCATTACAAGGTATTTTGTAAATTAGATTATTTTGTTTAAATAGGTTGACTGCGTCCTTTAACCTACAGATCTTGTTCCTGCCTGAGTGATTTGCGGACAGTAGATGTTAGGCTTAACTGAATTCCTAAAATAATTTCCTCAATGTGCAGCTTTGTCCTATGAGTGACTTCAGGATCTGCAGTTAGCTGCTTGTTAACTGCTTCTAAGGTTATATTGAATGGTAAATAAGTATAAAGACTAGTTATATCAAAACTAACCATTGTTTCATTATTCTCTAGTCGAATGTCATTTAGTTTATTTTCCATCTCATATGAATTAGTTAGTCTAGAGTTTGAACGATTTCTAGTGGGACATAATATTAGAGCTAAGTGTTTTGATAATTCATAAGTAGGGGTATTTCTGAAATCTACTGTTGGTCGTATGAGGTAACCTGGCTTATTTCTTTTAATAGTACCATACATTCTACTAGCATTATTAGTTTTAGGCATTGAATTAAATCTCATATTTGATACTCATCATGGATATATCTGTCTGAAAGCTGATGCCTCCTTCGAGAAATGGAGCCTCTATAATGAATCTTGGGGGTTGCTATAAATTAAATTATTAAATTTATTACGTAAAACCCTACTAGAGAATGGGTATCCACCAAGATTTATTGACAAAAACATGAAGGAGAAGCCTCCGGTGTCAAACATCGCAACGGTTCCTAAGAAGACTCTCTTCATGAACCTAGAATTCAAAGGTGATGTCGCAGCGGAAATTCTCAGAAACCGCCTTTCTAAATGTCTGAAGAAGACATTTCCAACAGCCACTCTACGTATCACATTCTCCTGCAGACAGTTAATCCAGTCTAACGCTAAGGACAAGATACCGCTTTTGGCCACCTCAATGTGTATTTATCAATTACTTGCTCGTGTGGAGCAAAGTATATTGTCCTTACGCAGCGCCAAGTCCAAAAACGTATTCTGGAACACTGCCCAGCTTGGTTAGCCAGAGGAGAAAAGAAGAATAGCAACAGCTCGATCCTCGAACACCTTGTCATATCTGGACATCGAGCACCCCTACATGAATGCTTCACAGCGTCACACAGAGTCCCTGAATATCGTACAAAGGGACTTCGGATTCGCCATCTGTACATAGCTGAAGCATTAGCTATTCGAGATCTGAAACCGGACCTCTGCATACAGAAGCGATACATACATTCTCTTGCCCTACCATGGCCAGAGTAAAGTTCTTATCACAATTTCGCTTCTTTCCTTTATTATGTAAGTTCACTATTATTACTATTATTATTTTATTTTATTAATACTTTTATTATCATTATTGTTCCCATCATCCACATTTTATTACCACTCTATTACTGTTTATTAATAACATTGCTTTTCATACATATTTTATACAAAAACACTTTATAGCCTTTCCACTAGTTCCTGTCCATTTTACACGAGATTATTGATTATTCACTATCTCACATTTATTACATCATGCCAACTTCTGTCTCCTTTCTAACTTACAATTAGTCATCCCTTCTTACACCTTACATTGTGTAATACAATTTTCCATGGACAAAATATACCAGTATCTGATTGGTCTACAGATTTCTTTGTTAATTATAATTACGATTGTACAGCTCATGAAAATGAATCGTCAAAAAGAAAATTTTCTTCGCTGTTTGTGCCTTTTTCTTATGACTCAATATGGGAATATTTCGTTCAAATTAAACTCTCCAAACTCGTTCGCTATCCTGCCAGATAACTTGAGATAAGATGACTGGCAGGTTGAAAATATGCCGTAGTGATAAGTGATAACATACAATGGCATTGTTTTACTAAATCCCTTTGTTTCCATTTTTTCTCTCTCTCTCTTTTACTGTGCAATTAGCATGCGAAAGCAATTATGGATGTACAACGTGTGCTACACATGAATTCAAGCAAAGGTGAATACTACTTACTGCTTGGAAGTTATTTATTCCTACACTCGGATGTTCAGTTGGTTCAACGATGTGTTCAACACTATTTGAGTATATCAGAAAGTCAAAATTATAAACAGGCTAAACAATTGGTAAATGTCTACTCCCATGGTTGTATAAGCCACTCGGTTGCTTTTTAACATTAAATAGTCTTCAATGAAGGTGTTTTTAAACACAAAAATGTATGGATACTGAACAAAGAATACTCTTTTCGATAACCTGCTCTTTATCAGGCTCTACAGTTATTTATACATTATAGTGAATGAATGAATTAGTGTTATGAACAACATTGATGTTGTTCAAATAACATCGAATCAATAATACCAATGGATTACAGTTCAGTAGCGTCAACATAACAATAAACTGAATATCAGAAAAATTAGAAAGGATAATAATACAAATTCATGAATTTATAGTCTCTACTGAAGGCCGGTCAGTAGTAGTGGCTGGCTGGACTTGTTTCTTTTGCACACAGAGCACTGGTTGTTTGAGGCGAATAGCGATAGCCTTTGCGGTTAGGCATGTGGTGCTTTGATATATTTGGCAATTTATTTGGCACCCGTTAGATGATAGAGAAGGATTCTTCAGCGCTGGTTGACTTCAAATTGAAGTATGCGCTGAAGATGTTGCCCAGTAGGGCGATGAAAGCTTCTCAAATTAACTATCCAACTCAGAGGACACAACCACATCAAAATCATCCACCTGAGATACAAATCTTCTTTATCATATCGAATGTGCACCGTGATGGCGAGCTACCTAGAATGTTGGCCACATTGCAAACCTGACTGATAGAATTCAGTCTGCACCAAAAAAAGTACTAGACACGTCGCACTAGTTACTAGTGTCCAATCAAAATACCCACTACAGTCCTATAGGAGGTCAATCGCGAGCCCAAATAGCTCAGTGGTAACGTCTCTGACTGCAACACTGGGTGAGGTGGGTTCGAATCTCAGAAGGGACATGAGTTCCTTCGAGGTTGCAGATACGCCTTGCTGACTTGTGAGTGCCAACTAGCATGAAACCTAGGTCCTGGCAAGGCTTCCTGAGGCCGATTGCCTCCAACTATCTAATTCATTTATTCTACTCAAATATTCTGCTCATCAGAGAGCACCACTAACTAATTAACTGAGTGTGTTTTCTTATTTGTGTTTTGTTATCAGTACTTACTAGTTAGGTAGAGTACTGGTTCATTGGGTAATTAGGCAATCTAAGTTTAGTAATACTGGCATGGTGTAGCTAATAAACAGCACTATCAGCACCTTACAAATATTATGCACAAATTAGCTTTGTGATGATGCCAAGAAGACGTTTTTCACCGCGAAATCACAGCTGTTAATCAGAGCAGAGTTGGAGTCAGGAGGAAATAATTGTGCGACAGTTTAGTGACGGATACAGGCAGTATAAAAGTCATTAAACTATAGAGAGCTTCTAAGCTATGCACGAGTAATACTGTCATCACTCTGGAGATTGGCAATGATTAGGGAAATAAATAGTGACTAAACACCCTTTACGAAACTTTTGTTACTTTTAAAATAACAAATTGACAGTTGTTTTCAAAAAGCCTCGCTTAAAAACAGTGTAATTTACGAGCATTATGCCTAAAGTGAAGAATATCAAAGAGTATAGGGTTAGAGTTAGTCAAGGAATAGTTTAGGTGAAAGAAAGTCTATGGTTAGGGTTGAGTTAGGGACCTAGATTTGTCTTTTGAAGGCGGTTGCTGCCTTCGTTACCCTTGGTTCGTTATATATGGTGAAATCGACAAGTATTGCAAACAGTTTCCCATCCACTTATTCACCTTGGATCAGTTCTAGTTTTAACCACATCAGGTATTATAGATCTATGAAGTAGAACAATAAAAGCTGTACACTTCGCATTATTTCTAAGCCTGTCTTTAGTCATAGTCTTTGTACTGTCTTCTGCTTTTCTTATTGACAACATTTTTAGAATTCTCAAAGAGTCTTTTCACCACAGATTCTCTTAAATCCCTGTTTTTAGGCATTATCCTATTACTTTCTGGGAAAATATACTGAAGCCGATTTAGTTCTATCAACCAATCAAAATCAGCATCAACCTGACATGGAGTATATCCTTCTGCATGCTTTAACTTTAGATAAACTCCAGCGAACAAAAGATTCAGTTAGTTTATTGGAAACTACCTTAAAAAAATTAGTAAGTATCAGTTTTACATGTTTTGTTTTTTGTTTTTCTTAATTATCTGTCTTATTTGTTCGCATTCCTAGTGGATAGTAGGGCTTCAAGCTCCAGGCTTGAAATTCCCATCACAGTGGCAAGTTTGACAGGCAGGACTGCTGATCTCACACACCTTAGTCTTTCTTCTTTTCCATCTTTACGACCTGCTAGTAGGCTAGTCGTGGTTGTGGGAGTGCATCGACCTTAGGTGGAACAAGAATATCCACCATCAGAAGAAATATTTCGTGCATATTAGATAAGTTTAAATGATATAACATGCATTAATATAGTGCTAATAATGTATTGCTCACAATCATTAAAATCCATTTATTCATACAACAACCTAACTTACTTTATACAGCCCCACCCTGTTCTTTCTCGTTTTTACCGCAATTTTCCTTACGTCAAGGATGGGTGTTGCACCATTCCAACTGTATGTGTTTAGTGCTGATTTTAATGAAAATAGATTCGTTAATTAACCTCTATCTTTTCATCTAATTATATTACTTTTTTAATACCTCTAGCCTAGCCCACCCTATCGTGTGATTACATCTAAGGCTGAGCGTTTTTCAAAACGTCATCCAATTAATAATATTGTATTATTAATAGTAATAATAATATACTTTATTCTAAAACAGACAGTACTTATAATACAGAATGGAATTCTCAGCATTTGTCACAATATCGCATCTGATTTACTCAAAATATAAATAAAATTAAAAATTAAAACAAAATTAACCAGAGGAATTTGTCCACATTTACGATATAAAGTCAAAAATTTTTGAAGTATGAAGTGAGAATATTAAAAATAATAATAATAACAGTGAGTTTGTTTCAAATAGCATTGGCGATTCAGTTTGAAAATTTAAGCATGTTACAGAATATTGAATCTAATGTTCTACTGATATAGTATGGTGAGGGGAAATACAAAATTAACAGTTATAACACAGCTTAAATGATCTTCACACTTATGAAAAAAAATAAACAAAATCAAAAAATTGAGAGGATTATAAATATAAGAAGTACAATAACAATAAAGGTTGATGTTGTAAGGGTGGAGGCAATGGTTTATTTACTAGTACAAAGAAGTTTAGTTAGTTCATGCCTAACACTATTTTCATCACATAAAGTACGCACCAAATATGGTATAGTGGAATTTTTATACTCAAACGTACGTGGATAAAGTCTTCTGAAAAGACTTCTTGTTTTACCTGAGGAGACAGAAGGTTGGAGTTGCGAGTAAAGTGGATGCTCACAGTCTGACAAGATTCCTTTAGCAAATTTGTTGCATGACATCAAGTGCCTATCAGTGACAATGTCAACGATATGGCCCAATGGGATACCCCTCGTCCTACTGACAGTCTTCAGAGTTCTACAAAGTATGACATAGTCTATTTTAAGCAGTCCAGGAAAGAATAAGGGTGAACATTATAACACCACGTGTTATATCAAAAATAAATTTATCCAGTATAAAATTTTATTTTGGCAGATTACTCTTCACTTTGTAAATCACTTTGAAGATGCAGCTTTAATCATTTCTATAGCGAAACTGAAACTGCCAACTGTTCTGATAGGAAAGATCCATGAACCTACTGCTGGTTTTAAAAGGCTCTGCTCAACACGCAGAATATCATGCACAGTAACCAACCCGGAACAACATAAAACGGTAGGATTATAGATTGTTTATTCTTCCACCGATAACGAAACAGCATTACAAGTGCCTAATTGCAAAATTTCCGATGGTATTCCTCCAGTCCTCTGTCAACCAGTATGCGACTACACAACGACAGCCTTCTTCTCTCTCGCAAAATACAGACCAATTAGAATAAACAAACGATTTAATGTTCACCAACATTGAAAGAAGCTGTGTATACAAACAAAAATTATTGAACCACTTCTACTGTCATGGTAACAGCCCTGTTGTTTTTTCTACCAACCTATTTTTCTTTAAAATCTTTCTAACTCTTCTATTTCTTTCATCTCCTGTCATGTAATTCCAACATCTTTGTTCAACTTCTACTTCTACGAGAGCTTATCTATTTCGCTGTTGTCTTCATGTATGAGAAGAATTTGTGTAAATTTTATTGTACAGCTACAGAAAATGAATTCCCCCAAAAAGAGCCTCTTCTCTGAGTTAATTGTTTTCTAATACCTAAATGGCGATTTTTATGAATAGTGAGATTTTACAATTGACTAAAAATATAACTCCCCAAGAAGAAACAGTGGTTCAGTCTATATATATTAAGCAACAGAGTTTAAAAGACCCGTAGCTGATTTTAGAAGAAGATGTCATAAAGTTCATTAAATGAAACTAGGGAAATTTGTGCTTGGTTATCCATCAGTCAATAACATACTTTATGCTCGAAACGTCATCAGTTAATATTACTGTGCAACATTGTGTGATTTATCAAAATAAAATCTTATCCATAATGGAGTTCCTTCATTTATCTAGGAAGCATCGTTTCGACCACATTCGGACAGGGATGAAAATGTCAAAGCTAGCCGGAATCGGAAAGGCAAGATACGCCATCATCAGCCTGGAACCAGTTTGGAAATCTTCTGCTTCACTCAGCCAGCATAAAGAACAAGATTCGGATTCTATTCAACACCAATGTCAAGTTGGTCCTTCTATACGGGTCAGAAACCTGGCGCCACAGTGTCACGGAAAGGATTTCCAACAGGTTGCAGACTTTTATCAACAGTTCCAGCCTTGCTAGCCCCGTAGTGAAGATGAAATGGCCGGCCTACCTGATGGAAAGAATTAGTCACAAGAAACTCTGGCTGGGAACATACCAACCAAGAGCCAATGGAGATAGATGAATCGAGCATACGCTGAGGAGGCCGCCGAATGACATTTCACTCCAGGCCACCGCTCGTGTGGAATCCAAATAGGAAGCGGCGAGTGGGTCGTCAATGTGATGGTGTCATGGAGGAGATCGTGTGGGTTGGAAGAGATGAGAGAATTTTGGCAATCATGGACCCAACTGAAGAGGATGGCGGAAAATAGAACACAGTGGAGATGTGTTGTTGAAGTCCTATGTTCCACTTTGAATTTAAGGGAATAATAATATAACACTAATTTACTGTCACAGCAATAAGAAACGAAATAATACAGTTAACTTTAGAAGGGCGCACTTGATGTATAGTAAAAATGGAGAAGCAATACGACTAACTAATTATTATTATTATTGTATCCTTTAATTCCTACAGGAACATAGGGCTTCAGCCGTGCGTCTCCATTGCGTTCGGTTCTCTGCTAGAGTTTTCACCCACACGTTTTCATCTCCTCTTCACATGACCTCCTCCAAGTCACCCTTGCACTGACGACCAACTCGCCGCTTCCCCTTCGGCGGTTCCACTCGATCAATGGCTTGTCTAGTGATGTCACTTGATGACTTGTTTCCTCAGAGTATGGCCAATCCATCTCCATTTCTTCCTGCCTATTTGTTTCACAATCGATTCCTGGTTGGTTCGCTCCCAGAGATCCCTGTTGCTGATCTTTTCTGACCGGCCATCTGATCTTGAGCGAAGTATTGAGCGAAGACAACTGTTAATGAAGGTCTGTAGTTTGTTTGAGATTCTCTTTATGACGCGCTGGCCAAGTCTCTGATCCGTATAGTAGCACTGACTGACTTCACATTGGAGTTGAAAATCCGGATCTTATCTTCGTTTTGATGCTGAGTGTTGTTGACCTCCACACAGACTTGAGAGTAGTGAAAGCTTGTCTTGCTTTTCCGATTCTTGCATTGATATCCTCGTCAGTTCCATCGGCCTGTAGTTGAAACGATGCTTCCCAGGTAGGTAAAAGAGGTTGTTTCTTTCAGGACGACTAACTAAAGGCCGTAATAATATCTAAAATAAATTTATTACTACTCCAATAAGCTAAGTAGTCTAAATTGTATAGTAAAAACATTAAATAAGAATTGTCAGATTTTGCATAACCTCATCGTATCATCTAATCTATCCATTTTATAAATGATAATGTTTCTTATTTATGCTGACATATTTACAGTTCAATAGGCGAATTTCAGAAAGAGCACAAATCTATGATCACCTTGGCCAGTATTATATGAAGTTGAAAAAGTATTCAGCAGCTGTCGACTCTTTCACAAGGTCTATTCATTTGAATTCTGAACAACCACATGTAAGTACACTTAGCATTTTATCAATAACAGCTTACAATTTCAATTCACTAAGTTCGCACAGCTGTTTCGAAAACTGGTAGAGGCAATTTGTAATGGAAGTGCTTAAAAAATGCGAACTGTCTTCCTTGTCGACCTATGTTAACTGACATAGGGTTAGGTTGGAAAAGAGTTAGGCGTGTGGCGAAACAAAATCTTGGCATCCATTCATGAAGTATTCAACTGTTGATTTCAACCAATTAAGGAGGGATAGGCTACATGATTGGGATCCTTGGGATTTTAAGAAACTGTCGATAGTGTGGTTCAAAGTCAATTTCAACGGTTCAGATGCATTCACTGTCTGTTATCCTCAAGATTCGTTAAATCCTCATATTTTTTCCATGCTACTTTTCTCTCTCCAGTACATTTCTGATCAATTTAGTTCTTTTTAACTGTTATTCACCTTTCTTTGAATTTGCGCCCTACGTAGAGTGTGGCAACTTGAACTACTAAACTTAAGTACAAAATTGCAAGGACCAACGCTGACATAGTGTGATCTGAACGCTAGGAAACCAATCTTTGCATTCTACTGTATAGCCAACCACAATTTCATTGAGTTACGTGCACTGACGTTAGTAAAAATGATAGTTGTTTAAGATAACATCTGCTATACTATTCAACAGTCATAACATGTCATAACGCATAACTACCTCAAGAATGCCGTTAAGCAGCTATACAGATCAAATTAGTTCACAGATATAAAGCAGGTGTTGTAGAAACAAATTAGTCAACCGAAAATCGACCCTAAGAAGTACCTTAAAATCAAGAAGAATATTCCCAACATGGTGGGGTAAAAGCTCTATCAGCAAGATTCTCACAGACGGTCCAAAATCAAAATGACATTGACTCACCCAAACAAAACTTCAGTCGTTAAACAACACATTATCAATATCATCATACAAACATAAAGAGAAGCACTAAAATTAGAGATTAGACAGGAACAAATACAAATAAGTCGATAGGTGATATGCAAACGTTAGGACAATGATATGTAACCTAGGAGAATAGAGTTAGTTTACATATTCAAATAAGTAGGATTATTGTAAATAGGTTGTTCAGGAGGAATTTTCTCAAGAACTATTCCGTCACAAAAGTTCTGTGTTGAGAGTCAGTCAGTTATCAATGAACTACTTTTATACTATTTTTCCCTTCCTTCACGTTACAAGAGGAACATCGGGATTGAAGCTTCAGTCTTTGAAGTTTCACTAGTGGTGGTGCTTTTTCAACGAGGACAGAGTTTGCTAGTTTTACGTGCTCCTCCTATAAAAAATCCCTCTTTACCATACTTACTCCTGGCTGAGGTTCTGGAGCGTGTTGCCAGGAATCGAGACGGAAGCATCTATGGCTTGAATTGTTGATATGATATGGTTGGACGCAATCGGCAACTAGACTGATCTAGGTTTTGTGCTAGTTGGCACTCACCAGTCAGCAAGGCCTACCTGAAACCTAGAAAGGAACTCATGTCCTTTCTGAGATTCGAACTCGCACAACCACCGAGTGCCGCAGTCAGAGACATCACCATTGAGTTATTCGGACTGGAGACTGACCTCCTGCAGGACTGCATTGGATACTTTGATTGGACAGTAGTTAGTAACGAGTGTAATGTGTCTAATCCTCTGTTTGGTGCAGACTGAATTCTATCAGTCAAGTTTGCAATATGGTCACCATTCTAGGTAGAAGGCTTCTTGCCGATTGCCTCCAACCATCTAATATCAACAATTATGAGTGCACCTTGATGGCGAGTCACCTAGAATGTTGGCCACATTGCAAACTTGACTTACAGAACTCAGTCTGCACTAAACAGATACATTACACTAGTCACTGACTAGTGTCCAATCAAAGAATGTCTGACTTGTTTTATATAGCTGAGAAATATCCTCTCTCTGCATTATGATTGATTATATGTTTGCACATTGCAAGATTGTAAAAAACCAAGGTCATCTGAAATATATTGATGACATTTCCTGCACTTTCATGACAATTTGCGTGTTTGTGCTGTTTAGCACTGACAGAATATGCTTTGGAATTTCCTTCGACGTTTCGATGGGAACAACGGAAGTAAAAAAAAATGTTTTTAGTTTTTAATTCCTAACTGCAGAAGACTTGACAAAAGGAAAAGTATTTTAACTCGAGCGTTTCTCTCTGTGCCAGATTTGTATTTGATGCAAATTATTTGCTTCTCCTCCTTCTATAGGTTTACTTGTATCGTGCTCAATCAAATCTCCATCTCATAATCTTACAAATAAAAGGAAAGTCAAACTCTTCGAAGGATTTATCAAACAGCTTTAATGATAATGTGCTGAACGATATTAGTCAAGCATTGGTTCTACTCACTTCAAAAAGCAAATCAATCAATGAAATATACTTTTATGCACCATTTGAAGCTGTGAATTTATTCGACCTGTGTTTACTGACACGAGTAGCTTATTTCGGTCTGTATCAAAGGTATACTAAAGCTATACTCAACTGTAATGAAGCCATTTTAAGAAGACCTCAATGGACAAGAATGTGGATTAATCGGTAATTGCATAAAAAAATTAAATAACTTTAAATTCTTGATAGGTAGAACAAAGGTTTTATCACATCAGTTACAATCATTTTGGCAATTTCTATTAAACTACTTTAAAGTAGTATGTTTTATAACTAAAAAATGTAAATCCGTAGGGTAACATATTCCATCACTAGCACATCTCCATTTCACTCTGTTCTCTTCTGTCTCTTCATAGATAGCCCTAGGAGTGCCCCAAAGCCTTCATTTGTTCACCATTACAATATCCCCTCTACGTCAAAATCGGGTGCACGCCCAACTTGTCGTTTCTTATTCAATTTCAAGTCGAGGGCGTAGTGCATAACATTACTCAACCGTCTCATTGGCGTGTGCCCAATGAATCACCATCTACTCCTGAATATCTGCTGGGCGATAAAGTGTTGGTTGTTTGTTCACCAGTGTTTCTTACTGCTAGTTCTTGAAGGTAGGACTTCAAGCGATCGTCGATAAGGCAGACAACAAAAAGCACCAATCAATATCAGCGGGAGGAATGAACGAAGCCACTTCTTCCACTTATCTAAGCAACCTCACTTTGCCTTCAGGCGACACGGATGAGGATATCAAATTTAGGATAGGAAAGACAATAAAAACCCTAATTATTCATAAATTAGTATGGAAGTCTAAAGAACAAGATTAGGATTTCCAACAGTAATATCAGTCAATTCAGTGTTTCTGTAATGTTCAGAGACTTGGCGTTTAGTGAAAAGCTTCTTACTGAAGATAAGATGGGCAGAAAAGATCTGCAAGAATCGACAGTTCAACATTTATGTAGAAGGATAAAACACGCAGAGGAAACCACTCAGTGACATCATGCGTGAACCCCGTGAGTGGATATTAATTAGGAAATGACGAGTTTAGCGCCCAAAGATGATATCTAGGAGACTGTGTGAGTAAGAGATGAAGTCTTATGGGAAATTATGGAGCCATCTAAATATGACTTCAAAGAACTGGCCTTAACGGAGAAGTGCTATTGAAGACTTTTATTCTACTTGGAACCTAAGAGAATAATAATAATAAAAATAATCCTTTTTGATCATAATATCTTCACTATGGGGCGTAGGCAGCTGTAGATTAAAGTCAGCAGCATAATATGGGAAATGAGTTTCATGATGCCCGCGTCAAGTCTCTGAACCATACAGAATACCTGACTTGACATCAGTGTTGTGCTTTCAAGTTTCTGTAGCGATTGGGCTGGTTTTCCGCAGTAGGATCACTAGCGTCACTCCCAGAACGTTCCACTTTTTCAGGGTTTAGGACGAACTAGTAAACTAGGGGAGATTGAATGTGTAGTTCCAAAATAATAATTCAGTGGTTCCCTCAAACTAATCATTATTGCCCAATGATGAATGAAATAACTAACTGAAAATACACAAAGGCCTTAATGACGGTTTGTCCGTCTGAAAGGCGGTTATTTAATCTTTTTGAGCACAACATCATTATTCAGGAATGAGAATAAGTACCCTGAGATAATAAAGATGTAGTGAAGTTGAACAGCATATAGAACAACAACACATGACGCATCAGAAATATTCCCGATATGGGTGCCAGCATGTTAATTACAAAACACGCCATGTTTATGGTAGGTTATTCCACTGTCTTTATTTATCGAATGTCAACATCTTTTGTCCACTCCAGTAACTCCATACTAGTCTTAAAGATGTACAAAGAAATTTACCACTTTTTCCTAATTTTTAATGGAAATACGGCATTTGATTTTAAACATGGATAAAAAATTAAACTCGTGTAAAACTGCCACCACCTAAATGGAGTAGTTATTATTACTTGAATGAATAAACTAATTACTGAAATCTCCTGTTCACTAAGTGTATAAATGATGTGGTAACATCCTTAGGATTGAACACAGGAAACAGTCAAAAATGAAGGGATCGCAATGTACAGAACTTGTCTTTAACACATTAATGAGTATTGTTTGTTGTTCTGATAAGATCTAACTGTGCAATAGAGAAGGAGTATATTATACAGAAACCTATCCTTTAAGTGGTTGAGATAACAATATAAAGTTGGAAGTATCCTGCAATTGACTAGAAAGAAGTATGCCATAGGATAATGAAGTCCCTTTAGTTATCTAAGGAGGGATAAATTACCTATGTGATGTAAATCTGTGGATTATTACTAAAGTTACAAGTTTTATCACTTTACTCGCTAAACTGACAAACTTTCTGTATATATTTGATTTTTTCTCATCATATTTCGTCTTTTATTTTTCATTTTCTCTCAACATAGCGGTGTATTTAAATATTTATTGAAAACATACGATTTTTCAGAGGCTGATTTGAATATGGCAGTAAAAACAGACAACTATTGCCCATTAGCTTATTATAACCGTGGATTATGTCGTCAAACTCAAGGAAACTGGAATGAAGCTATAGAAGTATGTTTTTGGGGAATAAAACAATTTTGTTGGGTTATCGATTAACTGAACTAAATTTGTCATTTGCAAATTATACAGTTCAAGGTGAAATGTGATCACAGTTGCCTTTAGAAATCAAAAGCATTCAGATCACAGTGAGTATATGTGATCTGCTTAATGCCATAAACAACAATCGAAAAAGCATGAAGGTGTATTCTAATAATAATTAATATGAGTGGTGAGAAACCACTCACACAAAACAGTAGTGCTTCCTTTTCAGATTGAAATTATCCACATATTACCCGTTCACTGATGCAGCTAGCTGAGGTACGGGCAGTTTGAAATGTTTCAGCTGACTGAGCTGAGTGAACTAGAGTTCTATTGATAATACTGACATATAAAGAAGGGATATCAAAAGCCCTGTATTTAATTTTTTATTATTTTATTCCTTTACGATCCGAGTGGTACATAGGGGGCTTCAAGCTACAGCTTTGAAGTTTCGGTAGCAGAGATTTTATTTTTACGTAGTATGTTTGCTAGCCTCACACCCAACCTTCCTTATTTACTGGCTTCACTGCTGGTTTAGAGAGAGTAAGGAGTGCTCCGGCTGAGCGTCGAATCCTGGACCACGCACGTGGTTGACGAACGTGCTAACCCTGAACCACTGAGGCAAATCACTCTATGAGATTCTTAATCAGTCTGGGTTTAGAGTGGTATTTAAACTAACCAATTCACTCCTAAAAAAAATTTACCCACTTGAAGATCTGATAGATTCAATTAAGGAAGTTAATAATATTTATCACACAGTATGTAATGACTGTGACTTCAAACTAGTAGATCAGGATCACTCAGTTATCGGAACATAGAAATGTAACTGGAGGTAGAATCACTGACCCTGCTATGTTTGTGGTGAGAGCAGACGACAATTAACGTCAATGTTCACGTTCCAAATCAGGGTCATGAGAAAAAAAACAATAACAAAGCTTAACCTTGAGGCACTCATCAGCCAATCACAGCAGACTTAACGTGTACAAATAGGATTTGCAGATATTTGGCTTAACTTTATGAGAAACGACCAAAAATAGATGACAGAATAACCTTCAGCAAGAAAATAACCAATCAGAAGAGGCTGCATCTCCGCCAACAATAAAGTCTATAAATATCTGTTGATTTTCTCAATAAACGCTGTGTTGTCTGGCCCTTGTCTTCTGTCGTTACATGTTAAGCAGTCTAGAAAAAAGCACTCACTACAAGTAGTCACACTATAGCTCAGGATAGCTTAAAAGTAGTAAGAAGTACTATAACAGGATGGAGAGAGGGATGGTAATTACCGAGTTTTGTTCATTGACATGTGCACTTCGAATAATTGAACACCCATCGGTGACTTAAAGGAAATTTCAATAAAAATTAACAGAAGTAATTCAGGCTATATAAAGTACGTTAGGAAGTCATGTGAATATATATAGTTCAGCGATAGAATGCTCGCCAATCACACATGTGGTTCGAGGTTCGACTCCCGGCTGACGCACTCTTAAGCCTCACTAAGCTGGTAGTAGAGGGAAGGTTGGGCGTGGGGCTAGTGAACTCACTGCGTAAAACTGCAACCACTCATACTGAAACTTCAAAGATTGAAGCCTTATATTCCGCTTACAGCTCAAACGAATAAAATGAAATAAATAAACGTAATTATGGGAAATAAATTGTGCTTGAAACGTCATCCAGTCGTGATCTCTGTATCACTGCGTTGAAACAATTGCTTAACTATGCAGTCACTGACTTCCACAGAAATTGATGTAGATTTATATCTGTGGGGGAATATGAATGTCTTTTGACTGTACACTGATTAGTAACGAGTGTAATGTGTCTAGTCCTCTCTTTGGTGCAGACTGACTTCTATAAGTCAAGTTTACAATGTGGCCAACATTCTAGGTGGCTTGGTATCACGATGCACTCGTAATTGTTGATATTAGATGGTCGGAGGCAATCGGTAGAAAGCCTTGCAACTAGGTTTCGTGTTAGTTGGCGTGTGACTGATAGAATTCAGTTTGCACGAAACAGATGACTAGATACATTACACTAGTTACTAACTAATGTCCAATCAAAGTACCCAATTTAGTTCTGCAGGAGGTCAGTTGTGAGCTCAGGTAGCCCAGTGGTACCGTCCTTGACTGCAGGCGGCACTGGGTGATTGGGGTTCGAATCTCAGAAGGGATATGAGTTCCTTGAAGGTTGCAGTTACGTTTTGCTGACTGGTGAGTGTCAGTTGGCACAAAACCTAGGTTACATAAGGCTTCCTGCCGATTGCCTCCAACCATCGAATATGAATATCGTCGGAATTACGAGAACACGTTACAGAGAACAGTTGCCAGAAGACAAAACCGTCATACTTTTGAGTCCTTTACTATTGTTCTGTGATTATTTTATGTGGTATAATTTAACGATCTAAGTTAACTCTTACAAACAGGCAGATAGATAATTCAAATTTTTATCCAATCAGTGTTTTGATGATAGAGCTAAGTGATCTAATTTCTGATCCCGATGACGGCCACCAATTGATTCTTATACTCCACGTAATACCATCAAAGAAATCCTCTGTTAACTTGATACAATTTGTCACAACTTAAACGGAAGACTGATACACGAATCACATTCATTCTGTAAGACAAATTTTTCCGTATATATTGTAATCATTGTTATTCCTTCAGCTATCGAATGGAACATAAGGCTTCACAGTCTATTACAGCTGCCACACTATTGCCATGAGCATCAATCCCGTACTCCTCACACGATCTCCTCCATGTCATTCTTAGAGCCATACCTAAGTCTTCATTTCCTATTCGGGTACCCCTGGATGTACATGATGTAACTTGGTAGTCTACTTGGAGTATTAATATATGTGTAAAACTTGGTCACTGTGGTAATAAGTGATTCCATATTAGTTTTAATTGTTAGATGTATCACACAGTCAGTGAAACGGCATTATTTACTGGATGACGTTTCGAAGAAAATTTATTGTTCATAATTATTTCATCAATTATAATCACACGACTTCGAAACTTGACATGCATGTCAAATATGCGCAGGATAATGACAACACCAACAATAAGGAATCTAAATCATCATCAGTAGTAATTCCATACAAGGAAGGAACCTGAGAAACTTTGCGCAGAATTCTTAACAAGGCAAGAATAAAAGTGGCATCCAAACTCACAAACTCAATTAGAAACAAGCTTTGTCGGTTAAAGGATCAATCCTGTGGAGCCGTTAAAACAAAACAATTTAGTTTATCTAATACCCTGCTGTTGGAATGATTGTCAGGTCAAATACGTAGATCAAAGTAGGAGAACAGGGTCAGTCAGGCTAGCGGAGCACAAAACGCCTAGCAGCAAAATCTAGATTAGTTGAGCCGAATAAGATAAGAAATCTAGAGAATAGTTCAGCTATAGCAGTCACCACACAATCATACAATAGGATGGATGGGATAAGATGACAGTTTTAAAATCTAATCTAATATAACAGCATAGTGGAGGGGGAGATCGATAACAGAAGCTTTGTTTATCGAGTCAACTGCAAATACGTGTAATAGGAATAATTCAACATCTGTCCACTCAGATACCTGGAGAATTCTACCACCCCAACAACGACAGTTAGGAGAGAACAAAGAAAACTATGAAGCTCAAGTTTCGAAGTCGTGTGTGATTATAATTGTTGAAATGATTATGAACAGAAATAAATTTTGTTCGAAATGTCATACAGTTTCTTTGACTGTGTGATGCATCTAATAAACAAACTAATGTGGAATCCTTGGAGTATATTCAATCCATTTCAATCTCTTTCTGCATATTTGTTAGGCACAAGGTTCTTGGTTGGTTGGTTCGTCCCCAGAGTTTATTGTCACTTATGCTTTCCGATCGGTCATCTGAATTTCAGATCTGTGTATTTTATTTTATTGTTGGATTTTCTCTTGTTTCTTTTAATCAATAAATTGTTGTTTTCTTGATGTTCAGGACTATGGACTCTCTATCAAGTATGGTGCATCACATGGCTGTATCCGTCTTCAGAGTCTAATTAATCGGTCACTTTTGTACTTAGAGAAGTTTCAGAATTATGAAGCAGCAATAGTTGATTTGTGTAACGCAAAAACTATATTAGAGAATATGATGGAAAAACCACAGGCGAAAGACAATGACATTTTATCGCGAAGGAGTTGTACTCATATTGGTAATAAGACCACTTATAATGCAAGCCTTCGTATTAAAATTATGCATACAATTGGTATTTGTCATCAAAAGTAAGCAGATTACTTTGTGCATGCTTGTTCAAGTCAAGTCTCTTTTAAAAATATCGTGATTATTTTTCGATATTCTTAACGAATTAAGGCCTGTAGAAGTTTAGCATTATTATTATTGTTTCCTTTAATTCCTAGAGGAAAATAGGGCTTCAGCCGTGCGTCTCCATTGCGTTCGGTTCTCTGCTAGAGTCCTCACCTGGCTCCAAGTCTGCCCACAAGTTTTCATCTCCTCTTCACATGATCTCCTCCAAGTCACCCTTGGACGACCAACTCGTCGCTTCCCCTTCGGGTTCCACTCGAGCAATGGCTTGTCTAGTGATGTCACTTGCTGGTTTCCTCAGAGTATGGCCAATCCATCTCCATTTCTTCCTGCCTATTTGTTTCAAAATCGGTTCCTGCTGTGTTGGTTCGCTCATTGCCAGATATCCCTCCCTGTTGCTGATCTTTTCTGGCCGGCCATCTGATCTTGAGTACTGAGAGAAGACAACTGTTAATGAAGGTCTGTAGTTTGTTTGAGATGCTCTTTATGACGTGCCAAGTCTCTGATCCGTATAGCGAGTAGCACTGACTTCACATTGGAGTTGAAAATCCGGATGTTATTTTTGATGCTGAGTGCTGTTGACCTCCACACAGACTTGAGAGTAATGAAAGCTTGTCTTGCTTTCCTGATCCCCGCCTCTTTGATATCCTCGTCAGTTCCGCCTGTAGTTGAAACGATGCTTCCCAGGTAGGTAGGTAAAAGAGGTTGTTTCTTTCAGGTTCCTCCCATTTATGCTGATTGTTGTCTGTTGTTGTTGCTGCTGTTGGTGTTGGCCAGGAATCTTCATCACATACCTCTGTTTTCTCTATGTCCACCTGAAGTCCTATCTTCTCTGGATGCTTCTTCTGCCAACTTGTTGCTTTTCACTTACATATCCTCCAGTTTGTGGGAAATCAGACATATATCATCGGCGAAGTCCATATCCTCCAAGTTCTTTGTGTGAGTCCATTTTATGCCTGTTTCCTCATTGCCCGCTGTTTGTCGCATTATCCAATCTACCGCAATCAGGAAAATCATTGGCGATAGTAGGCAACCCTGTCTTACTCCTGTCTTCACTTCGAAGGATTCTGTGAGATTCCCGTTGTGGATTACTTGGCATTCAGCGTTGTCATACAACTGTTGGATGAGATGTATAATTGTCGGCGGCACCCCGTAGTAGCGAAGTAGTTGCCAAATCACCTCTCTATCGACGCTGTCTGCTGAAGGCCTTTTCAAAGTCGATGAAGTTGAGATAGAGAGGTGACTGCCATTCCAAACTTTGTTCAATGATGATCCGTAGTGTGGCGATTTGATCAATGCATGACTTGTTTCTCCTGAATCCAGCTTGTTCTGGTCGAAGTTTTTCATCCAGGGCTTGTTTGATCCTTTCCAGGATGATGCGGCTTAGTATTTTGCTTGGGATGGACAGGAGCATAATTCCGCGCCAGTTCTTGCATTGACTTAAGTCTCCTTTCTTTGGTAGTTTGAATAAGTATCCTCTCTTCCAATCTTCGGGTACTTTGCCTTCTTTCCACACCTTCTCCAGTAGTGGCGTCATCAAGTCTGCTGTTGTCTCTGGGTCCACTTTCAACGCTTCTGCTGGGATTCCATCTGGTCCTGCTGCTTTTCCAGCTTTAAGCACCTTGATTGCCTTCAGGACTTCTGTTTTCGTCGGGGGGTTGATGTTCACTGGTAATTCTGCTTCCGTTGTTGGTATTGTTGGGCGCGTTGTAGGTGGCGGTCGGTTTAGTGGTCTTTTGAAGTGTTCAGCCCAGTGTTTCCTTTGCTCCACTTCTTTGGTGATTGACTTTCCATTTTCATCCTTCACTGGCTTAATTTGTGACGAGTTTTTGCCTGAGAGGTACCTAGTTGTTTGGTAGAGTGTTGCGAGGTCTCCTTTGCCTGCTGCTTGTTCTGCTTCATTGGTCATGGCTTCATAATACTTTCTTTTGTCTTCTCTGGCACTCTCCTTTACTCCTTTGTTCAGTGTATTGTAGCTTGCATTCAACTCCTGTTTCTGTTGCTCGTCGGTGCACTGGAGAATCTTTTGTTTCACCATCCTTCTCTCTTCTATTAGCCTCCACGTATCCGTCGTGAGCCACGGTTTGTCCTGTCTCTTCTCTCTGCCCAGAACTTCCATGCAGGTTTCGCTCCATACCGCTTTCAGGTTGTCCCAGTGTTTTTCGACGCTGACCTCTTCGCCAATGTTGATTTGTGTCTCAGCTTTGTCCTTTATGCCTGCAGTAAAGATATCCTTTGTATCCTGGTCCTTTAGTTTTTGAGTGTTGAACTTGGCTTGTGGTCTATCTGCAGCTCCTGATTCTCTGAAAGCTTTTAATTTGAGTTGGATTGTTCCTTGTACGAGGTAGTGGTCTGAGCCAACGTCTGCTCCTCTTCTTGCTTTTGTGTCCAGTAGGCTGCGCCGCCACTTCCTCGAGATTGTGATGAAGTCCATTTGGTTTTTGGTTCGCCCATCTGGTGACACCCATGTAGCCTTGTGAATATCCTTGTGTTTGTATACGCTGCCACCAATCACTAGTTCATTGAAGGCGCAGAAGTCGGAGAAGAGTTCTCCATTTTCATTCATCTCTCCCAGAGCTTCTTTACCCATGATGAGTTCCCTTCCTGTGTTGTCTGGTTCAAGTTTGGCGTTCATGTCTCCCATTAGTATTTTAATGTCACCGGCTGGAGTATTGTCTATTGCTGCCTGTAGTTGTCTGTAGAATTCTTCTTTCTTTTCGAGGTCTGCGTTGTTGGTGGGTGCATAGCATTGTATAATTGACACTTTTCTTTCTTTGGAGTTGAATCTGGCGCTCATTATTCTGGGTGAGATCGCCTCCCACTGTATCAGAGCCTTGGTTGCCGTTGGTGACATCATTATAGCCACGCCCTCGGTGTGTGTGTGGTTGTCTTCTGGGTGACGGGAGTAAATCACTGACTCACCTGTTGACAATTTGGTGAGTCCGTTTCCGTTCCATCTGCTTTCGCAGATCCCCAATACTTGTAGTCCGTATCTTCTCATTTCGCTTGCGATCTGGGCAGCTTTGCTAGTCTCGTACATGGTGCGGACATTCCATGTCCCCACACAGACTTTTTCTTTTGACGCAAGGAGATTGTTCACGCTGAAGTTTCTGTAGCAGGTTTGTTTACAGGGTGAGGTTGCTGGCCTCACGCCTGAGTTTATTATTGATTTTTTGGGTTTTTCTTCATTACAGAAAGATACTTAGACTAGTAATTACTGAGTAGATTAAAGTTTGATATGGAATTCAATGTGCTGTTAACGATCAGTGTCTATAATTTATTTTTCATATCCCTGACTTTCCAGTATCTATTTCACATATCCTTTTAGCAAGGACATCAGGCGAAAAAATTACAAGTTTCCTGAAGTTCTAGCGAGAAGTCTTGACCATTGAGGTGTATCCAGTAGGGAGTGAGGATGGATTTCCCACCGATAACATCAGTTGATGCCAGTCACGCTAAATATCACGAATCGGTAGGAGTTAGAATTCATGGACTGGTCACTGAGGAATCGGGTCCCAGTGGATGGATGGTATACGAGCTAGCTTGTCTTGTAACCGGAGGGTCCTGGGTCCAAACTCTGTTAGTGGATGCATACTGCTGATGAATCCCAAACTAGGCTGAAGAAGCAACTGTTCAGTACTCCATTACTGGTTCTCTAACTGGTATAAATCTGTGGTCTAACTCGTAATAACAAAACAAATCTTGAAAAAATATTGAATAATCTGTATTTCTTTTTCATATTTTAAAACAATTCAGCAATGATTCACCGTCTGGTAGAAAGTTGTGCGAAACATTAAGTTATGCGTTACACTTGGGAATTATGCTAGTATCTAATTTCCATATTGATTTGTTTATTTTGCATATACCACACAATTAAACAGTATCATTCACTGGGTAACGTTTCTAAAGTTTCGAATCACTCAGCAACTGCGCACAACCATGCAGTAGGATGTTACATGATGACAGGAGGTTGATAACTGGAGACTTATTTCTCTGGACAATTAAGAATACGTGTAATACAAGTGATTCAACACCTGTACTAAACATCTTGAAAATTACAGTACTCCTGTGACAAGTGGGAAAGAAAAAAGGGAACTATAAAAGTCAAGTTTTTCAAAGTTACAACTGACATAAATATGAGCAATAAAATTGTGTTTGAAATGTCATCCAGTAAATAATACTCTTTCCCTGTGTGTGTGTGTGTGATATCAACGAATTGATATAGGAATTGTGCAGAAAAAAAACAACCAGTGCAACCAAGTTTGCGTTTAATAAATTACAAAGTTTGAGACATCTTTAGTAATCCCATTAAAAATTTCAAAAAGCTGGTTAGTGAAGAAACAATATTCTCTTCGATAATTTCCTCATCATCATACTCCACAGTTATATGTCCATAATAGTTAGAAAATCATTCTTATTAAAAAAAATTATGGTTTTAAATAACTGTTTCGCCCTAGTTTGAGTCCCTTCATCAGTACGCACTCACCAGTTTTCGAACCCCGAACCTTCCGGTTATAAGGTAAGTTCGTAGATTATTAGGCCTCTGGGACCCAAATCATTGACCCGCTTATGAATTCTAACCTCTACCAGTTCGTGAATTTAGCGCGGCCAACAGCCTATGTCATCGTTGGCGAGCATTTGTCGTGACTTTCAAAAGGGTGAAACCCACTGGTCACCACTGTTCACTGGAATTTTAGTCGACCCCGTCCTACAGGCAGTCACTAGTCGGCGTTAGATTAATTTTCAAGAGTTTGTGTATAGGGATTTGATTTGTCTCAAGTTTGATCACTTATTGATATGAGTTGGAGAAGCACTAAAAAGCAGGGAGTACAGGACAACTAACATCGCGAATTCGTAGAATGAGTCCCGATATTGTGGTTCTTGTCCCAAGCATGTGCAGTTACAGATGAATTTTTTTCTAAATTCTCGTAAGCTTGTGTTCCTGTTGGTTGACCTTTATTTCAGCATTTATGTTAATTCACTCTTATTTTGAGTGATCTGGACGTTTGCCCCACATATTTAGTCGGACACTCGGCATAAGATATTTTGTAAATTACATGGTTTTTTAATTGGTGGATGGTGACTAGTAGTAGAATACAGCATGCACATTTCATCCTGTTCGGGACTCGTCATCTGGATCAACTTTGTTTACAGGGTGGGATTGTTAGCTTCACCCCTGAGAAAGGGGTTATTACATGTATATGTAGTTTGTAGAGGAGCGACTTTATGGGCTGCTCCCCTCAAAATCAGGAAAATAAGGAGTAAAGCATTCAGAGCAACACCAGCAAAGGGAAGGAATTTCACAACAGTGAGGGCAGCGAAAACAACAATAAGAAAATTGTAGCAATAGGATCACTGTCAAATACAGTTAACAAAAATTATATCAGAACCACAGACTCGCTAACTTGGGCCGAACTAGACATGTAAATCCAACAATATATACAATTACAGATATTAGTTAGCGTTAAACAGTCACAAAATGCCAAACAGATAGTTATAGGTACTATAAGTCAACAAGATTATATCCACAGATTCAGTGTTCGAAAGTCAAATAATTACAATAAATTCCATGACTTCCTGGCAAGAAACGCCAGAGAAATGAAAGTTTTATGTAGCTGAGCAAATGTAGCGCACTAATCGAAAGGCGCGTCATATGTATCAACTTGTCACGTGGTAAGAAATTATTTCAAACTAAAGACAGAAGTCAAGTTGAAGAATTTTTTTAAAATTTTGGCCATGAAATGACCAGTGCTTAGAGAACCACTGTAAACCAGAGAGTACTGAACGGCTGTTTTACCCTTGGTTAGAACTCTTCAACAGCATGCCCCGAATATGACCACACCGGTGATAGAACTCAGAACCTTCAATTTACAAAGCGAGCAGAACAGGTAACAGGTTAGCCATACCTCAGGACACCATGTCAAATAGCCAAGTCTCTAACTGAGCCATTAAAGACCATTAAAACGTTGTGAAACAAGGTGAATTACGGAACAGCTAGAACACAATTAACTCTCGGCTGACCAATTTAAAATACTCTGGAACAGATTAACACGTACAACCCTCCCAAAAATATCACCATCTGACCAAAAAATAACTTTGCACGGCGATGATGTTTCTATGTGGATTGGAAATTTGGTGCACGATTCACTAAAACCATTTCTATCAGCAGCCAGTCGAAGGTAATGCCAGAGACCCGCATACAGTGGAGATTTCCTTCCGAAGCCCTGTATTCCACTCAAGACAAAAGGAATGCTTACTAATATTTTGATGTCATAAAAACTAAGCTCCTTTTAATTTTTCACTAATATCTTTGCTTTTAATATTGACATATAAAAAGATATTCTCCCATGTCCAAAATATAAGATAACCACAGGGGTGTCAATCAAATGGCAAAATGTTAGCTTAGGGTGAATACTGAGTGTAGCTACTTAAACAGCCTTTGTAGTCACACAACCCTGAGAACCAAAAATACCAACACCAGTAGTAATTCAAAAACAGATCCTTATACGTGACTCCCATTTGTAGGGCAATGCCAGACTTTCAAGACTTGATAATCAAGATTGTAATCCCAGAAAGAGTGTTCCGTTTCCTTAGTCATTTAAATACAACTTATTGATAAGTGCCAATAAGCACCAGACCTAGATTGGAGTAGCGCTTGGTGTTGAGTGACTTGTAATATCTAACATGTACTATATATATATATACATATATATATATATATACATATATATATACATATATATATATCAAATATCTTTTATTTCAACCTTTTTATAGACTGGAACAGTATGTTGAAGCAGAACAAATATTTCGTCATTTAACGCTATCAGAACCTGGATTCCTTCAAGGACATATTGGACGAGCTAACTGTTTAATGGATTATGGTGGTTATATGATAAAAAATAACTTGGATGATTCGAAATCATTATGGGAAGAAGCATTGGTTGTATATGAATTTGCTAACAAATTGGATGAATTGAATTTAGAAGCGAGTATAGGATTATCTATGTGTTTGCAGGTACAAATTATTATTATTATTTCCTTTAGTTCCCAGAGGAACATAGGGCTTCAGCCGCACGTCACCATTGCATTCGGTTCTCTGACAGCGTTTTCACCTAGCTCCACGTCTGCCCACATGCTTTCATCTCCTCTTCACATGACCTCCTCTAAGTCACCCCACCGTCGCACTGACGACCAATTAACTCGCTGCTTCCCATTCGGGTTACACTCGAGTGATGAACTGAAGTGCGATGTCACTTGAGGGTTATCTCAGACTATGGCCTCCAGTCCACCTAACTCCATTTCTTCCTGCGGATTTTTCACACAGTCGGCTTCTGGTTGGTTCGCTCTTGTAGAGGTCTATGTTGCTGATCATTTCTGGCCAGCCATATGATCTTGAGTAGTATTGAGCGAAGACAGATATTGATGAAGGTATGTAGTTTGTTCGAGGTGCCCTTCATGACACGCTGGCCAAGTCTTTGATCCATATAGTAAGTAGCACTGACTGAATTTACACTGGAGTTGAAGATACGGATCTTAGTTTTCATTCTCAGTGCTGAGTAATGTTGACCTCTACACAGACTTGAGAGTAATGAAAGCTTGCCTTGCTTTCCCGACCCTCGCCGCTTTGATATCCTTGTCAGTTCCGCCTGTACATTATTATTGTTTTCGAAAAGTTAACTTTTAGGGATTTGGTTTGTTTCAAGTTTGATCACAGAGTGATATCAGCTAAGGAACCATTGAAAATCAAGGAGTACTAGTTAGCTGTTTCGTCCTAGTTTGGGACTCTTCAGTAGTACTCACCTATAACACCTTCCCCCAGGAATTGAACTTAGGACTTTCAGATTATATGGTGGGTTTGTTGACCATTCAGACATTTGGGCTAGAAATCAATGACCCGTTAAATTCTAATTTCAGTGGTTTTCTGACTGATATCAATCCACGGTCAAAACTGAAATGATAATAATAATAATTTCAGTAAAAATAAATTATGGAGGCCACGAAATGACTGTGACAAAGTAAGTAAAAATGTCACTAGTTGTAAATGTAGCTTAATTTTTACTTCAAGAGCTTCCCGCCGTTCTGATTTATCTATTTTTAACATATACGATTAGGTATCAGGACTAAGGTTGAGGATTATATTAGGGTTAGTAGCTGAGCAAAAGAGTTATATTAGGTTTTTTTATTTCTCTACGTTCCCGGTGGAACATAGAACTCCAAGCTAGAGGCTTGAAGATTCTGTAGCTGTGTTTATTTTTGCAGGATTGGGTTGATAGCTTCATACCCAACTTTCCTCTTTACCAGCTTTATCACTGGCTTCACGAGGTAAAGGAGTACGTCAGCCAAGGATCGAACCCTGAACCATGTGCATGATCGGTGAGCGTCCTAACCGCTGTGCCACCGATGACATATTAGGGTTAAGAGTTGGGATTACAGGTTAACAGTTAGGCTTTGAGTAAGGGGTTATTGTAGTTCACAATAGTCCCAATAAAAAGTCTGATCATTGAAATATAAAGTTGATCAACAAATCTAAGCGTTTTACAGTTCTTCAATCGGATTGTTTGTTTAGAAACATTTGTCAACTGCTGTCGTTTAACTTCACCGCAATTTTCTATTACTGTATGTATATAAAGTAAAGAAGAATTTTTGCTATGACGCAACAGAAATGTAGTAATTAGTGGTCATTTAGCCTCTGTTTTAAAGGTTAGGGAAATGAGAATCAGCGTTTAAATCGAAAGCAATCGATATCATTAGTTGGTGCTCGCGCTGTATGACAAATCATCTGCGTGTATATTTTCCCTAAACCATCGGTTTCCATTTAACCGATGGGATACGCATACAATTTCATCATAAATTGTTGAAACTCAAATCGAAGTACTGACAAGAAAAACCACCCTCAAAAACCTCAAGAAAAAAATTTAATAATATCTCTGAAATAACGGCTAGATTACTAAAACTATTTATAGTAGACATAGCATACAAGCCGAGACAATCACAGCATTCGGCTTTATGCAGACGAGAGGACCCAATGACAGAATATGACAAGATCAATGCAATTTACAAAATAAATTGTATAAACTGCGATAAAAACTACATTGGTCTCAGAATATATATATATATAAATTAGATGTGAAAAGACACGACAGGTAATCTTTTACATTAATACATGTAGATAGTTACGGACACCGATTCGATTCGAAAAATGTACAGATTTTCAACAAAGCAAACACTAGAAATATTTGGGAATTTTTAGAATCCTGGCACAATGATGAGTCAGCGATAAACAGACATATTACTATAGCATTCAGCCAATGGGCCTCGATTCAATGGCCCATGAATTCTAACTTCCATCATTTCGAGAGATTAATCTGATTCTCGCTAGTGCCTTGCGAAAGGATGGAGTTTCCTGGAGTTTCAGTGAGAAGTCATGACCAGAGGAAAGAATCCAGTTGGGAGTGAGGATGGATAGCACCAAAATATCACGAATTGGTAGAAGTTAGAATTCATGGGTTAGCCATTGTGAAGTCGGTCTCAGTGGCTGAATGGTATACAAGCCAGCTTGCCTTGTAACCGGAGGGTCCTGGGTTCGAACTCTGGTGGTGGGTGCGTACTGATGATGAGTCCCAAACTACGCTGGCGAAACAGCTGTTCAGTACTCCAGTACTGGTTTTTAATGGTTCTCTAACTGGTATTAATCCGTGGTCAAACTCGAAAAAGAAGTCAAATCCTTACAAATCAACTCTTGAATATTATTATAGATCAAATTTACCAACTTATAAAAGATAAATTACACGGCAGGAAATTTCAACCTCCAAGTTAATAAAACTGATCAAGAGAGATGTAGAATAACAACCAATCATGACAACAGTTGCCAGGAGATACAATTCTATCATCATTCATGAAGAATCCAAACAATTTCACTTCATATTAAATGTTCTTCTGAAAATGTCACCTAGAAGGACAATGAAAGGTTTGCAATTAAAACAACTGAATCAGTGAACGCAACCAAATGGAAAGTTAACATTGTTAATACAATAACATACAATATTAAAATGTCCTACTCCTGTTTCCGTTTGTAAATAATAATTATAAAATCTAAAAGAGGACTAAATAGCTTTCCAAATTTCCCAAAGTTAAAAGTTTACTTTCAAAATGGTATAATCTTGTTGGTAATGAGCAGTAACGTCTGTAATTTTTAATGAGACAGTTGATCTTATGAATTAATCTTGTTGCGCATATATTGAATTGTTTCATTCCAGACAGTGAAGTGATAATGATCTTATCGACTTAAATGTTGTCATCTGTAACCAGTCAAACCTTAACTTGAATTTCATCGACTTCGAAAAAGCCTTTGACAGACAGCATTGACCGAGAAGTAATTTGGAAACTACTTCAACACTACAGCGTACAGTACCCGAGTCTTTATCAACCTTATTCAACAGCTGGCTATATGACAGTGCCACGTGTCAAGTGATCCACGGTGGAAAACTCAGCGAGGCATTCGAAGTGAATAAAGGAGTAAGAGAAGACTATCTGGCTATTATCACTATCGATATTCTTAATTGTGGTGGAGCGGATTATGCGTTAGACTGCGGGAAACGAGGAGACAGGAATACTCTGGACAGCCGACAATAAGACTCTAGAAGATCTGTACTTTGCAGATGATATATGTCTAATGTCATCCAAACTCAAAGACTTACAGGCGAAAACCAAAACACTGGCAGAAGAGGCTGACAGCAAAGACAGGACTGCAGGCGAACATAGAGAAGATGGAGGTGATGAAGATAACCAGCGAGCATCAACAACAACAAACAACCAGCACCGATCACCATCAACGGAAGAGATTTTACAAAGGTAACATCCTTCACTTATCTAGGAAACACGTATTCACCCACAGGCTAGCGGGACTGATGAAGATGTCGAAGCCAGTCTGAATCGGAAAGGCAAGATACGCCTTCATCAACCTGAAACCAGTTGGGAAATCTTCTGCTTCACTCAGCCAACATAAATAACACGATTCGGATTCTATTCAACACAAATATGAAGTCAGTTAGTCAGTTCTTCTATACAGGTCAAAAACTTGGCCAGTGTGTCACGAAAAGGATTTCCAACAGCCAGCTGCAGACTTTTGTCAACAGCTACCGCCTGGCTGGCTCAATACTGAAGATCTAATGACCGGCCAGCCAGAAAGAATTAGCAACCAGGAACTCTGACTGGGAACAAGCCAACCAAGAGCCGATATGCAGAAGAAAATGGAGATGGACCGGGTATACGTTGAGAAGACCGTCAAATGGTATTGCGCTCAATGAATTCCATCGCTCGAGTGGAATCCCGATGGGAAGCGTTGACTAGGTTGTCGGTGTGAGGGTTTTGTGGATTAGATAGTGTGAGGAGGAGATGAGAGATTGTGGGCAACCGTGGGCCCAGCTGAAGAGGAAAAAAGTGGAGTTGTGTTGTTGAAGCTCTACGTTCCACTGGGAACCCAAGGGAATAATAATAATCAATAAAAGTAACCAGATCGGCCTAAATCTCTACTTATGATGTTTTTATCTTAAAAGTGTTTAAAATTTCTTCCATTTACTTGACTAAAATGGTTCTCGGAAATTGAAGGAATAGTGTGAAACTGGTTGATTCTTAGAAGAGTTCACAATAAATAGTGCTGGAGGCAAGGCAAGGCTACCTACTACCACGGATGGTATTTCTAATTGTAGTAGACTGGCTCACGCTACAGAACATGAAAATGAGAAGAGGGATATTTATTGGGCTTATAGAATGACTGCAGAAGATTTAGATCCTGCGGATAAATGATGTTTTATGTCACACTAATTCGAGGGTTTACAGGCGAAAACCAGTAACACGTTGACAGCAGAAATAGTGAAGACACGTAGATAAAAAAAAGGTGATGAATATACCCAGCTGCCAACGATAAGCATCAGTCATCATTAGTGGAGGGAATAGAAGGTACATCGTCTCTTCCAGTTGCCACCTTGGCAGCTACGATTCAACTACAGGTGACAC